GCCGGAATCATGGCTCCTCCTAGTCAATATGTCGCCCCTGCTTCCCCTGCAGCTATCTCTGTCTAAACCAGCCTCTCCACATTGCCCTGTCCCAGGGTAAGTCGCTGGACAGGCCGGATCAAAGGAGTTATCTTTTATCACCGAATCCCCTCCCCACTGTGACCACCCGCTCCCCGAAGAGCTGATGCCATCCCTCCCACAAGGTCATTTTTCTAGTGGACGTTACCCCGCTCTTTTCCTTTCCTGGTCCATCATTTCCCTTTGTGGCTCACTTACAAGACCTTCCTTATCCTTTATTATAGATAGCTTTCTACCTTCACTCTTTTTGTCTGATTGATTGTGTTTTTGGTACACGAAGACTTATTTTTTTAAAGTATTTTTTTTTTAATTATTGATTTCAGAGAGGAAAGAGAGGGAGAGAGAGAAACATCAATGAGAGAGAATCATTGATCCCTACTGGGGATTGGGCCCACAACCCGGCCATGTGCCCTTGACTCCAATAGAACCTGGGACTCTTCGGTCCGCAGGATGAAGCTCTATCCACTGAGTCAAACCAGCTAGGCCACAAAGCCTTCTCCATGGTGCCTTAATCTTGTATAGCATTCTGCAGCAGAAAATGATATAGGGTACTATTTACTTGAGGTTTACTATGCACCAATCCCCGTGTCATTCAGTCCTTACAGTTCAGCATTTGGCATTTCCCATTTTCTAGGTGAGAACATTGAGACAGAAAGATTAGCTAGCTTAAAAGTCATAGAGCTGGTAAGGGATGAAGTTAGGGTTTCCCTCCCCTTTTGTTAAATTTATTGGGGTGACATTAGTTAATAACATTATGTAGGTTCCAGGTGTACAATTCAATAATACATCATCAGCATGTTGTGTTCACTACCCTGTTAAGTTCCTTCCATCACCATTTATTACCCTCCCCCCTTTACCCTCTTATTCCTCTCCCATCCCCCCTTCCCTGTGGTAATCACCCCACTGTGGCTGTGTCTATGAGGGGATGGGATTAGGATCCAAATCAGCATGACACCATAGCCAGTGCTCTTAGCAATTTTTTAAAATTAGTGAATACATTCCCCACTAGATGTATTTTTGAGATTCATGGGTGTCCACATAGCATTGAAACATCTTACACACAGTTTACTAAGATGCTGAGTGTAGGAGTCAGTACTCAGGAATTTTCCTCTTCAATGGTTATACTGGTGACTCAGACTTCGTTCTTACTATCAAAGTTGCATCAGCCATCTCTTCAAACAGGGCTTGTAATACAACAGTAACACTGACCCCTCTTTAGATTGCATCAGTCTAGTTCTAGTATCAAGATAGAAATCTCCATTCAGCACTGGCCCAGTGGCTCGGTTGGTTGGAGTGTCAAACTGTACACGAAAATGCTGCTGTTTTATCCCGTCAGGGCACATACTCAGGTTTTTACATTCCATCCCCAGTTAGGGCAAGTATGGAAACAAGCAATTGATCATTTCATGCATCAATGTTTTCTCTTTCTCCCTTCTACTTCCTCTAATAGTAAAAAAATTTTCAATAAAAATGAAATCTCCAGCCACGTTACAGCTTCATATCAATTTGAGCAAATTTCCTGTATATAGATGGGGCAAAAGTAGATTTACAGTTCTTCGTATAGAAAATAATACAATAATAATAATATAAGAATAAATGTTCTTGTACTCACAGCTGTAAACATATTTTTACCAAACTCTGTATATCACAGTTCACTTCTATTAAAAACAAAGCTTTCCATTTCAGCTTCATCTTTGATTGACGGAGTAACCCTTTGTAACTCTTAAGATTTAGAAAAGTGATACCTGGCTAACTTCTGAGGGGAATTGAGCATATTGGTGATTGTAATATCTTTTTAAAGCCAATAAATTAGGTATATGTTATATTCCAAAGTGGACATATGTGGATTGAATAGGGAAATGTACAGGTAAATCTAGTTTGCTAAATGTTGAAAATAGTTTTCAGTGCCAATTTATCAATATTTTAGTAAGTGCTATACACTAAGCTAATTGCTTTATGTATATTTTATTTTAATCCTTATGAAAGCATTTTTAACCCCAACTTTAGAGCTAAAGAATCTGAAGCTTCAAGAAGTAAAGACATTTACCCAGAAAATCACACAGCTGAGAAGATATGGAGTCAGAATTTGAGACTGACAGTTTGATGTTTAATTTCTGTAGTCTAGGTTGTCATCCTGAGCTCCGGGTTAAGATTATGTTTTAGGATATAGAGTAGTTATATAGTTTACTAACATTTTAATAAGGGGTCATAGACAAATGTAGAGTTTATCCAGTAACTTAAACCATGTTGCTTCACTTGTGTACCCGGAGGTAAGAAAATAAATTTCCATTTCCCATCTGATTTCAGAAAGCTAAGCAATTAGGGATGATTAGGATTGGATGTCATTTTGATTCTAAATCTTCCTTTCTGAAAGGGAATGAAGGCAGAGAGGTAAAGGAAAAGTCCTAAATAATTTATAAGTTGAATGTTTAGACCCTGATAATTGAGAATTTTTCACATGCTTTTAATATATATATTTATTAAAAGCATGTGAAAAATTCTTAATATATATATATTTTATTGATTTTTTACAGAGAGGAAAGGAGAGGGAGAGAGAGTTAGAAACATTAATGAAAGAGAAACACCAATCAGCTGCCTCCTGCACACCCCCCCACTGGGGTTGTGCCCACAACCAAGGTATATGCCCGTGCCTGGAATTGAACCTGTGACCCTTCAGCCAGAAGGCCAACATTATATCCACTAAGCCAAACCAGTCAGGGCTTCACATGCTTTTTTGGAGAGAATATTCAACTTAAGAGGTAGGGCACATGAACTTGGGGGAGAGAAACAACCTTCCCGAGCCTCAGCTTCCTCACCAATTGAATGTCAGGGATTTCTGTCTGCCTGTCTCAGCGGCTTGTTGCAAGGATCCAATGAAAAAGTACTTGGAAAGTTGTAGAATAGTGGTAATATACAATCGTGATATTTCAGAAGCTCTTCACGAACACCACCTCCTTACTGGAAATATTGGGGGAGGGGGGGGGAGAAACACTTCGTAACGTATATGATTATCTAACTGTACATCTAAAACTAATACAAAATAATATTGAAAGTAAACTGTAATTTAAAAATTTAAAAACACCTCTTAAGAGCCAATTTTTAAAGATTTCTTTCAACGAGAAATAATAATTTTGGCGATAAGTTGAATTTGACAAAGATTTTTGGAAATGCTGCTGCATCTAATTACTCTCTTAATTGGCCACATAAATGTTTTTTATTAAAAGAGAATAATTTCTTGCCGAAACCGGTTTGGCTCAATGGATAGAGCGTCGGTCTGCGGTCTGAAGGGTCCCAGGCTCAATTCCGGTCAAGGGCATGTGCATTGGTTGCAGGCACATCCTCAGTGGGGGGGTGTGGAGACGGGGGCGGGGGGGGGGGGGGCGGGGGATGGCTGGTGGATGATTCTCTCTCATCAGCATTTCTGGCTCTCTGTCCCTCTCTCTTCTTCGCTGTAAAAAATCAATAAAATACTGTATATTAAAAAATAATTTCTCAACCTTCATTAACCACTGAAGTAAAACAAAAGTATCTTCCTATACCTGAGCTTAGAGCAGTACTAAGGAAAAATCATGTCTATTTTTTTTTCTTTTGAAATTTTAATATGCTATGCAATAAGTTTTCTTCTTTGTCTTCACTTTTTAAAAGATAATTTTTAAGTAATAGATAACCTTCACCTCCCTTCCCCGCACACACACAAATGAAAAGTAAAAAATGCATTTTTTTGTGTGTATGTGTATATATATATATATATATATATATCTTACACACAGACCTGTGCACAAATTTGTGCACGGGAACCAACCAACCAGCCCTTCTCAATGGGGGCAGATTGGGGCTGGCCTGGGGGAGAGGCTGCGGGTGGTTGGCTGGCTGGCCCCACCCCTGATCAGGCCGGTTGGCCGGCTGCAGTGGGTGTCATAGCCATTGGTTATTCCAGTTGTTCTGGCATTCCAGTCGTTGGCTTTTTATAGATATAAATATAGATATATACATATTTTTTTGGGGGGTTGGCAGGGTAGAAGAGGATATGCTATGTCAGAAAGTGTGATAGAGAGGAAAGACCATAGAGTTTAGAAGCATAAAACTATGAGCTCCAGTTCTGTCACTTAGCTAGCTGTAATAGAGGGCAAGTCACAATCTCTCATGCTATTTACTAATCTGCACAGTGGATATAATTTTGCCTCCTTACAAGATTGTTAGGTTTAAATTATTTAATTGTAAAGTATTTTAACTTTATACATAAATTTCTTTTGAAGTAAAATAATCTTAAATATAAAGAACTATATGGAATTTGAGTAATATACTTGATATATATATATGTATATATCTTAAATCTCCAAATTTTAAAAATAGAAATATATGTACAAGGTATAAAATTTAAAGAGTACAATATGCAATGAAAATAAATCTGCCTGTCCCCCACTCCCTAGCCCTGTTCTTGTACACTGGCAAAGGTAACCACTGTCAATACTTGCTTGTGTAGCTTTCTAGAGATGTTTAATTCATATACAATGTGAGTGTGTGTTTCTCACATGGTGTCTCTCTCCCTCTCTCTAAAAATCAATTTTTAAAGTTTTCATGAATTTAGCGTTTAAAAACTTATCAGAAATAAACTATTTTGCCTTATCTGGTTTGGCTCAGTGGATAAAGTGTTGGCCTGCAGACTGAAGGGTCCTGGGTTCCATTCCAATCAACGGTATTGAGCCCGCAACCCTAGTGGTCCAATACCCAATAGGGGGTGTGCAGGAGGCAGCAGATCAATAATTCTCTTCCACCCATGTTTCTATCTCTCCCTTTCCCTTCCTCTCTGAAAGGGAAAAATATATATTTCAATAAAAATATATATTTTTAGTAGAGCAACAAGCAGACTGTCAAATTACAGCGGGGAGGCTGGGGAGATCTGGGGGAGATAAGAGATCAACTGAAGGACTTCTATTCATGCATATAAATACAACCAATGGACACAAAACTCTGGGGAGGGAGGGTATGTACGGGAGGGGGGGCATTGGTATATGTACAAAAATAACTTAATAAAAAAATATATAAATATATTTTTAAAAAGGGGTGCCCAATCTACCATTTAATAAATAAATAAATAAATAAATAAACAATTTTGGTCTTAAAATTATAATCATGGTATATCAGTATGATAAAACATAGCCATTAAAATTATTGATATCTATGTTTTTCTCTTTTTGACTTTATTGAAGTGACAGTTAATAAAATTATACAGGTTTTAGGTATACAATTCTTCAGTACATTATCTGCGTATTATATTGTGTATATAAGACTTTGACCCTTAGTCAAGTCTTCCATAATATCTATGTTTTTCAGAGTACATTGTATGTTACTTTTTGGTCTCCATTTTTTTGTTATTAAAAAAAATCTCTTTATCAGGAACTTACTTGAAGTTTGAAAAAGTTTAAGAACTTTAAAATTAATACAAAAGAACAACAAAACATTGTCAGTAAAAAATATATAAGATACAATTTCATTAAACCTTATGATTAATCATGGGTTAAATTAAAATATGGTAATGCACCAAAGTTATATGGTGACAGCTCTTATCAATCTGGACATCACTGGTACTGGTAGAAAAATAAGATTTATAATAGATTTCAATGGGCTGAAGTGTGAGTTGCATGATTTTATGACCCTGTTCTACAGGAACCACTTTCCTCATTTTCATTTTCAGTATTCTCAAGTTGTCCTCAGCATAGCCAAAAATTAAAATTCATTGGCAAATGTTGTAAAACTGTATGAACTACATGAATATAGTTCTCTAACCTTGAAAGGGTCCCCAAACAAATGAGGGGCCCTAAATTATAGGCTACATCAGCTTTATAGTAAATTGACCTCTGATTACTAACTACTATTTCTGAGCCTGCCAGTTGGGGCCAGTACAGGACAACCAAGGGCCCAGAAGACAAGAATGTACAACTGAACTCTTGTCCTTTACTTTTCAATTGGATTATTCGAAAGTGAAAAAACATTTTATGAGGGAATACTTCTGCTTCCTCATATGTCTTTATGGATTTTTTATTTTTTACAGACTCTAGAGCTTTAGAAAAGTTTTTCCCATTAAAAAATAACAATCTTTGTAAGGCTCAGTTGGTGGAGCACTGTCCATGCATGGAAGGGTTGCTGGTTTGATTCCGGGTCAGGGCACATACCTGGGTTGCAGGCTCAATCCCTAGTAGGGGGTGTGTAGCCGATCAATGATTCTCTCTCAGCATTGATGTTTCTATCTCTCCCTCTCCTTTCCTCTTTCTGAAATCAATAATAATAATAAAACAATATTAAACTATTTCTTTTAAAAAGATATTGTTGGAAATAATTTTTTTAAAAGTTGGGATTCTCTGTCCTCAATGAGTATTATTTATTGATTTTTGAGCCTCTTAACCTTGAGTTCTTTTTCTCATGTGGAAAGGTTTGGGGATAATAATACATACTCATATTCCATAAGAATTACTGTTGTAATGACCCATTGTTTGATGTTTGGGCCTGTATTACTTACTAGGTGTTCTGGATGCAAAATCAATCAAACAAACAAACAAACAAACCCACACAACAACAACAACAACAACAAACAATTGAAAACTGCTGATCAAGTTCTTCATTTGTAGATGACAGCATAGGGCTCAGCACAATTAATTGACCATCCCAGTGCTCTTTTTACTTACCACTCCCAGTGCATTCCTCAGGACCCCAGAAAGCTTTTGCAACTTTTGGGGTCCTTTTTTTTCCTCCCTGGCCGGTGTGCTCCAGCCCATTTAGAGTATTTAGTATTGAGAGCAAACTGTGAACATGTTCATTTGCACATTTTGCCTAGGCTGGTTCTTTCTTCACAATCCTCACATGCCCTTTTCCTTCTTGAAATCCCACCATCCAGTGTCACTTCCTCCTAGGATTATGGCCTCTCAACTGAATGAAGCCTTTGCTGGAATCTCAGCACTTTGTACCTTAGTTTACTATTACTATCCCTGATCTGCGTGAGCTATCCTTTGAACCTGGAGTGCAAACTGTGTCCTGTTGCTTTTTTTCATTCCCGTGGTGCTTTGAGCAATGCTTTATAATAGCTGGTAAATACTCTTTGACCAAATTGAATTCTTGAGTCAGATTCATGGAAATATGAGAACAATAATACCTGAACAGCTATTGTGGTAAGAAAATGAGGCAATAAATCTGAAGCAAATTTTGACAGTTTTTAAAGGTAACACGTCAAGGAGGATGACTAAGTGGAAAGCAGTCTGGGAGCTTATTCACATCTGAAATAGTTAGAAAAAGGATATTTACTTTCTTTTTGACTCGGAGTTGGGCGATATAATCATTGCTTTCAACTTTCTGAAAGGCTGTCAAGTGGGAAACATTGTATATTGCTCCAAGCAGCATAACTCCTGGCAGCGGGAGGCAGCACAGGGAAGCTGATGATTTCAGTTCAGCAGGTGGCAGAACGTTCTAACCCTTAGAGCTGTCGGACAATGGGCTGGGGCGGGCTGCCTTACTTACAGGCAGTGAATTCCCTGGCGTTTGAACTGTGGAAATAGAAATTGGGTGACTGCCTGGCTGGAATGTGGAAGAGAGAGAATTCCTGCCCGGGCGAGAGTTGGACCAATGACCTTTAAGGTGTCTTCAACTCTCAGGTTTCTATGACTGTTCAGTTAAATATCTGAATTGTTTTTGTGAATAAGCAAAAGAAATTATTAAACAGATAAATTGTCAATCAACTTAACAACTGTATGGTCAAATCTACAGTAACTAAAATTTGATAAAACGAGGAGTGAGAAATCAGGTTTAAAAGTCCAGATACTACTCCAGGGGGAGGGAGTTTGGGTTTGGAATGCCGTGTCCCGGGCAAGTGACGGTTGAGCCCTGAATCGTTTCACTTTTCGCTAATACTCGCGGATTTCTCAGCAGTACCGTAAGCGGAAACGAGAGCCCGCGATGGGTGAGGAACAAATTTCCCCGGAAGGCGTTTGGCGGCACCGCGGTCGTCCAGGTGGTGGCCCACTGGGCAGGCTAGAGCGGAAGGGGCGCCGCTGGCCGCCCGCGGGAACTACCAGTCCCAGGGGTCCCCGCGGCTCCGCGCACGCGCGATGGCCCGGCGGCAGCGCCACCGCAGGACGCAGGGAAGCCAGCTAGCGAGTGGTGGCGGCGACGGCGGGCGGGCGGCGGTGGCAGTTCGCGGAGAGGAGGGTGACTGCTCCGAGGCCGGGTGGCGATCGGGCGGAGACCTCGGTTCCTTTCTTCGCATGATCCTCTCGGTGAGTGTCCGTCCTCCGCTAACCCGCGCCGGAGTGCACGGCTCCCTGTCTCTAGTGGCCGGGCTACTCCGGCCTTGGGCCGCAGCCTGCGCCTGACGGCCGGCCGAGGGGTTCAGCTGAGCCCCGGGCACTCCCCGCCAGTGTCAGGGGAGGAGGGGGTGGGGAGAGGCCCTGTGTGGCGAGGGGAGAGGTGCCGCGGCGTGCCGGGCCGGGGCCGGGGCCGGGGCCGGGCGGCCGGGGCGGGGCGGGGCGGGGAGGGTCGCGGGGGGATGGGATGCGGGGCGGAGCAGGTAGGGAGCCGGCACCGGAGGCCAGAGGGAGATGGAATGTCTTCTGAGAGCCGCCGGTGAAGACGTCGTCGTGCTTCGGGGATCTCTTGACAAGCGGGACTCGCCCATCTGGCGGGCAGCCCAGTCGCCAAAAACACACACTCTACACTAGGTATCTTGTCATTCGCTGTTGGAGGTTGTCGGGGGGAGGGTCTGTCGGCTGCTTTCATCTCCCTTCCTTCGATCTCACCTTTTCCTGACGGGCAGCATTCACATGGGTGGTGCGCCGGCGAGGCAAACCGTAGAAATGAACAGGGCTCTCTGTGACTAAGTCTGCATAAAAAACAGGGAAGTGTGATGATTTGTTCAGATTAGAACTAGGTCAAAGGAGATTTCAGTGTTTTTTTAATTTTTTAATTGGTGACAAAAATCAGTCTGAGCAAAGATTTGAGCTAGAAAGGCTTTGTAACCTGAGATTCACTGGTTGGTTGGTTTGTGAATAGAAAACCACGGGGTGGAGGGTGGGGGGGCGGGGGGGCGGGGGTTGGGGGAGATGTGTGGGAGGGTCCTTGAGCTAGAATGAGGATAACTGTAATTTATTATTTCCTCCAATTATGAATGTAAGTAATAAACCACAGTAGAATAACAATGTCTGTGACTTTGTCACAATAAAAATTATAGATATTATTGTATAATGCTTACAAATGTTGCAGGTATCTCAAAATATCACTTATGCTTATTATAATCTCTTCAAATTTATGGTATTGCTAGACTCACTGTTAGATCTTGTTATTTTTTTTAAATATATATTTTATTGATTTTACACAGAGAGGAATTGAGAGGAATAGAGAGTTAGAAACGTCGATGAGAGAGAAACATCGACCAGCTGCCTCTTGCACACCCCCCACTGGGAATGTGCCCGCAACCAAGGCACGTGCCTTTGACCGGAATCGAACCCGGGACCTTTCAGTCGCAGGCTGACGCTCTATCCACTGAGCCAAACCGGTTTCAGCAGATCTTGTTATTTTATGTGATGATAAAACTGCACATATATTACTCTATCAGGGTTTATATGTATTCCTGAAATAGAAATACATCTTTTGGGATATATAAGTCTGTCTGGAAGAATATTTGAATCATTGAATGAGAAAGAAGACAAGCAAATAGGATGATGAATGTAGGTGAAAGAGGGGATTTTGTAATGAGGGAAGTAAAAGACTTGGTTGGCTGAGACCAGAGGGACAGTTTTGAAAAGATAGGATAGACCACGGATATTTCATTCAGGGTTCTGGGGACTCAGCAGAATAATCTGAGGGAGAAAGGGTAGTGAACGCTTTGGCTTTGAAATGTTCGTATTATTGCACCTCCAAGTTCCAAGTATGGAGCCCTCCAAGCTCTTGTGTAAGCCTGTGATAGGAAGCTTTAGCGTGTGCTGGTTTTCTTCAAATTATATGAATAGTGTGGCTTTTAAAGCATTGTGTCCTTAAGTGAAAAGCCTCAGGATCCCTCTTCAGATTTATTTTCCTATTGCTATTAGCTTCTTTTTAGATTTGAGAGAAAGTAAATGTGCAGAATTTAGAATTGGAGGGTTGGTAAATCATTTATTTTGAAATTCCATTTAAAATTTTTGCAGTTCTTCTTCATGTTGGTGTCAGACTTCTCGCTGACGAATCACTGAACATTTTTCCCCCCCACGATATGTGTGACTTGAAATGTGCACCTGTTTGTAAGCACCTATCAACATCTGGTGTGAGACCTTCCCTCCACCCCCCAAGTAATAGCAATGATGGAAAACCACTGCAGCAAACTTCTTCTGGAAAAAAATCAAGGGGGGGGGGGTGGTATGGAAAGATGAGGAAGAGTATTTTATGAAGCAAATGTTGGTTCTGAAATAGCTTATGCTGAACACGCCGTATGACAAGCCGCTGCCTTGGGGAGGTTTTGCCGGGTACTTTCTGTGTCCTTACACTGTCCTCTTGTCATCCTTGTCGCCTGTACCTATATTTTATTTATAGCATCTATCTGGTAACATATAATTTGTATGTTTATTTAGTATTTCAGCCTTTGTCTCCCCTTTCAAATGTCAGCTCTGTGAGAATAGGAACTTTGTCTTCACCACCGAGCTGGAATAGTGGCTGGCACATAATAACTACTCAGTAAACATTTGCTGAGTCAGTAAATGAATAAGTTAATTTATAACACTAGGTTTTTTATTTCTGGGGATAAAACACATCTATTTTACATACATATGTACATATATGTATGTATACATTTTAATCCTCACCTGAGGATATTTTTTCCATGATTTTTGAGAGAGTGGACGAGAGAGGGAAAGATAGAGAAACATTGATGTGAGAGAAACACATGCATTGGTTGCTTTCTGCACACGGCTTGATCAGGCTGGGGCCAGGGAGGAGCCTGCAGTCGAGGCGCATGCCTTGGACTGGAATCGAATTCAGGATCCTTTGGTCTGCAGGCCGATTCTCTATCCACTGAGCCAAACTGGCTAGGGCAAAATATATTTTTTTAATTAATTTCATGCCAGAGAGAAAGGGAGAGGGAGAGAGAGAGATTGAAACATCAGTGACGAAAGAGAATCCTGTATACCCCTCCTAGGGATAGAGCTCAAAACCCACAACCCAGCATGTTTCTGGACCTGGAATTGAACCATGACATCCTGCTTTATAGGTTGACACTCAACCACTGAGCCATGCTGGCCGGGCTAAAACATACCCATTTAAAAAATTTTGTAAATAGTATTACACATGTATGCTGGATTGAATTTGAGCTTTTTAATTTTATATCTGTATCATTTAATATAATTCATTAATTAAAATAATTAATTGATTAAAAAAAGATTTTTAAAATACATCTTTAGAGAGAGGAAGGGACAGAGAAAGGTAAACATCCAGGTGAGAGCAGAACATTAATCGCTTCCTCCTGCACACGCTGCTGGGGATGGACCCACACACCTGGGCATGAGCCTGGCTGGAACGGAACCAGCAAACTCTCGGTGCACAGGACGATGCCCAGCTGAGCACACAGCCATGGCTTTGTTTTGGGGAAACATCAAAGATGAGAGAGAATCACTAACCACCTGCTCCTGCATGTCCCACCCTGGGGATCGAGCCTGCAACCCGAGCATGCGCCCTGACCTGGGAATTGAACTGTGACCTCTTGGTTCCTAAGTCAGTGCTTAACCACTGAGCCATGCTGGCCAGGCCAGTTTTTGTTTTTGACCCAAGATTCAATTGAGGATTTTGTATTTAGTTGCCTGCTTGTATATAAAATACGTTTCCAGCTTCTTTTGAGTTTCTTATGATAGAAAGCATCCAGACCAGTGTTTTTTTGTAAGATGTCCCTCAGTTTGATTCATCTGATCTTCGTGATCAGATCCGTGTTAAGCATTCGGGGCTGGAATGCTACATAGGTGATTTCAAGTCTCTTTTAATGTATCACATGGAGGCCTGAGATGTCAGTTTCATTATTGATGGAAATTTGTATAATGTCTACTAGACTTATATTGTAAAGGGACTCATTTTTCTTTTGTAATTAATAAGTAATCTGTGGAGTGATGATTTTAAAACATTCTCAAAGTCATGCGTTGTTAGTAGACATGCCAGTATAAAGGGTCAAGAAAATTTAGACTGGAGGTACTTCTAATAATGGGAGCATGGGACATCAGGGAATGGATGTGTATAGGAGAGGGTATTGGAACTGGACCTGAAATCATAGATGTAATTGGCTACAGGGCTATTGGAGAAGGGCCCCAGGGGAGGGGACTACTTGAACAAAGAAAGACAAGGACAAAAAAAATAAAAGGAAGGAAGGAAGGAAGGAAGGAAGGAAGGAAGGAAGGAAGGAAGGAAGGAAGGAAGGATGGAAGGAAGGAAGGAAGGAAGACAAGAACAGTTTTGTAGGTTAAATAGGAGATCAGCCGAAACCGGTTTGGCTCAGTGGTAGAGCATCGGTCTGCGGACTGAAAGGTCCCAGGTTCGATTCTGGTCAAGGGCATGTACCTTGGTTGCGGGCACATCCCCGGTGGGGGGTGTGCAGGAGGCAGCTGGTCGGTGTTTCTCTCTCATTGACGTTTCTAGCTCGCTCTCTCCTTTCCTCTCTGTAAAAAATCAAAAAAATATATTAAAAACAAACAAACAAAAAACCCCCCTGCAATCTTTAAAAAATATAAAATAAATAGATCATCCAAGTCTTTTCCTTCTCATTCCCTCTCTTCGCTTTTACTACTCCCCTCCTACCTCCCCCTTTCACCCCTCCCCCCCCCCCCCCCACACACACACAGTGAAATTGCTCACATGGAATCTGAAGTCAATATACTGGAGAAGAACCAGAGAGCAGACAAATCTAGTTTTAAATTCCTTCTCTGCTGCATAATAGCTGAATGATTAGGCAGTGAGTTATGTGACTTTTCTAAACCCGGTTTCTCAGCTGTAAAATGGAGGTGATCAATACTTAGCACATAGGATTAAATCTAATAATATGTGGGAAAAACATCAACACCATGGCTTTCATTCAGTAATTGCTAGTTATCTTTTGGCGTTCCAGCTCTCAAACTCCTTTCACTCTTTTCCACTTTGGCACCACATCCCTGACTTTAAAACAAACCCTGCGCTTCTGGTGCCTTCTTGGCCACTGTCACTGTGCCATCACCTCCCGCTTCGCGCAGCTTGTGAGCTGCTTTCCAGTGATGGCAGGCGGCGCTCACCCCACAAGGTGAAGCAGCCGATAATGTCATCCTGGAAATGGCAGCAGTGTACATTAACTTCATTCTTGGTTCAGTTCACACCGCAACATTTATCACTCTTCAGATGTGCTTCAGTGTAAATTAGTTTTATTTGGAAAAATTCCCCCTAATATTTGTAGAAAATTGAAGAGGGAAAGTGGATATATCCTAATAGTAAGACATTTCATTGGATGTTTAAATTTTTTTAGGAGTGAGTGTACCTGGGAGAGTTGGTTACATTATACTAGATTTTTAAATATTATTATTATTATTATTATTATTATTATTATTATTTTGGTAAAAGCTTGATATAGATGGAATTCTTGTTTAGGAAAGGCCAGTACTTGAAAAAAAATTTTTTCAAATGGTGAAAAATGTTTTTCCCTCCCCTTACACTTTCTGTTTTTTTGTGTTTTTTTTACCACACATGTTTTCTTCCCTGGAGTTAATGTTTTCTTAGGCAAGAAGGATTTCAGTATTTTTTTACATTTGAACTGCCTAGGTTGTGTCTGCATAGAATTATTTGTGGTTTAGCTCTTTAATCCTAATCAAAGTGTTTTCATTTGTAAAAGAACTGGATACCATTAATTTCTGTATCATGTATACATTTTTTTTTTAGAAGAAGCTTTAGGTACAAAGCTGTTTGATTTCTGTTTTTTAAAATTATAGGTAATTAAAATTTCCTTCTTTATGCATACCTCTGCTTTTTCAGAATGTTTTACTATGTATTGAGACTTTGTAAAAACATTTTCAGAAGGGCAGTTTTTCATTGTTTCTAAGCTGAAACCATGTGCTGAACTCTGCAATGCAGTGGCCAAAGGAAGTGGTGAATATCTGTTGACATTTCAAGTTCTCTTATTTAATATTTATGAATGAGTGGTTGAGCAAATGTTTTTAAAAAATTACAGGTTTTTTTTAGGGATCTCTCTAATGTCTTTTTTTTTTAAGTTTGAATATGAAACTTCAACGTGTATACCTTTTTGTAAGCCATTTTTTTACACGTAAAGCTTTAAGCAAACTGTTGTACCGTGAAAACAGGCAAGATGTCTGTCTGCTCATTAATCTAAGATGACTGTCCTGAAGGTGCTTGCTTGGTCTTGCTCCCAAGCAGTGCTGGTACACCCACGCCGCAGACTAGTGGAAGGCATGTTGTCAAACGTGTTCAGTTCTTTTTCCTTATTAATTTGTCTTCAGTGTGTTTTCTGTGAGTCTTTAAAAGGATTAAATTGTTCTTTTTCTATTAGAGACAAAAAAAATTAGTCCAGGGATATTAGCCTATTTTAGGGTCAGAGTCGAATTATCTTCCCAAGCAATCTTAATTTTATGCAAATACATGTATTTTGAAAGTTTTCAGAACATATGCTAAATTAAGCTATTTTCAACCCACTTTGAACTGTGCTTTCACTTTCTAATATAGGACTGTGACCCATCTCTTGAGTTTACTTCCATTATTTATAAATCCTGACTACTTCACAGAAATGCATCAGGTCTAAAAGTCATAGCACTTAAAGATTTTCAGAATGTTTATAAATACTGATTTCTGTGCCAGAAAAACTTAGGAAAGAATAGATTAATTCTTTTTGAAAATTTATTTCATTTTTACCACCTCCTTTAAAACCCAAGGCATCTTTTTTTTGTTATTGTTGTTAATTCTCACCCAAGGTTATTTTTGCATTGCTTTTTACAAAAAATGGAAGGGAGGGGGTAGGGGAGGGGGGGAGAAGGAGAAAGAGAGAGAGAAAGAAACGTTGATGTGAGAGAGACACATCAATTGGTTGCCTCTTGCACGTGGTCGGACCAGGACAAGGGATAGAGCCTGTAACCTGGGTATGTGCCCTTGACCGGAATTGAACCCGCCTATGCTCTGTCAATTGAGCCAGATCAGCTAGGGCAAATCCAAGGAATCTTTGATTCCTTTAAAACAAAATGCCTTTTAACATCTCATTATTTTTTTTAATATATATTTTATTGATTTTTTTACAGAGAGGAAGAGAAAGGGATAGAGAGCTAGAAACATCCATGAGAGAGAATCATTGACCAGCTGCCTCTTGCACACCCCCCACTGGGGATGTGCCCGCAACCAAGGTACTTGCCCTTGACTGGAATCGAACCCGGGACCTTTCAGTCCACAGGCCGACGCTCTATCCACTGAGCCAAACCGGTTTCAGCTAATATCTCATTATACAAGATTGTGATTGGCTAACTTGAATTCTGATGGAAAGTGACTTACAAAGCTTCTCTATGAGTAAGTTTCTGCTCCATCATTTAAAAACATCATAATAGTAATGATAATAATAGGTAACACCAAGTTATTTTTTCTAGATACTATATATATTATTTAAAATTGCATATTCCATAATTCTATGGAGGTTTATTTCTTTTTGAAAAAGTATATTAGCCTTATATACCAAAAGGTGGTGCGTTCAATTCCCGGTCAGGGCACAAACCCAGGTTGCAGGCTTGATCCCTAGTCAGGACACGTGCAGAAGGCAACCAATTGATGTTTCTCTCTCACATCAATGTTTCTCTCTCTCTCTCTCTCTCTCTCTCTCTCTCTCTCTCTCTCTCTCTCTCTCTCTCTCTCTCTCTCTCTCTCTCTCTCTCTCTCTCTCTGTCTCTCTCTCTCTCTCTCTCTCTCTCTCTCTTTTTCTCTCATTCCCTTCCTCTCTATAAAATAAAAATATTTTAACTAATCAGGTACTTTTTGTGTGTGTTCTAGAAAGTTCCTTTTAGGTTAACACAATGAGTGGTAGTAATCTTGTTTGAAATTTGATAATAGCCCTACCCAGGTTGGCTCAGTGGTTAGAGCATCGGCCTGGGGACTGAGGGGTCTTGGGTTCGATTCCAGTCAAGGGTACACACCTAGGTTGCAAGCTCCATTCCCAGTAAGGTTGGGGCTTGTACAGGAGACAACCAGTTGATGTGTCACTCTCACATCGATGTTTCTCTCTCTCTGTCTCTCCCCTTTCCTTCCATTCTCTCTCTTAAAAAAAAAAAAATATCAATGGAATAAATATTCTCGAGTAAGGATTAACAAAAAAGGAAGGAAAGAAATTTGATGGCAAATATTTAAAATTTCATGAACCCCCATTCTTGGAAATGTGATGACAGCCTGCTGCACATGCTTCTCCTAATTTTGAGGGTGGACTCTGGGTTTTGAAACAGGCTTTACCAGTATTACAGCTCAGCAGAAATGTAGCCGAAGCTTCCTCAAAGTGTGTGGGTGGTGACGCTTCCTCTCAAAGTTCGCAGAGCGTTCTAAGGGCTTTAGAGTTTTCTTTAGTTATTGGGTATATCTTGACCTCCACATTTACTGGTAGATATGTCTTAATGAGTTGTCACTAGCGATTATTGACTAGGAGGAAATTAGATAGGTGGTATTTAATTTTAGACTAATAAAAATAATGGACATTGCCGAAAACGGTTTGGCTCAGTGGATAGGGCGTCAGCCTGCAGACTGAGGGGTCCCAGGTTCGATTCCGGTTAAGGGCATGTACCTTGGTTGCGGGCATGTCCCCAGTGGGGACTGTGCAGGAGGCAGCTGATCAGTGATTCTCTCATCATTGATGTTTCTCTCTCTCTTCCTTTCCCTTACTCTCTGTAATCAATAAAAATATATTTAAAAAAATAATGGACATTTATATCTAAATGTGAAACTTCCTGATACACACTCATTTCTGGATTGGGCAGATTTTTTGTGGGGTTTTGTTTGTTAATCCTCACCCAAGTATATTTTTCCATTGCTTTTTAGATAGAATAGGAGCGAGGGAGGGAGAAAGAGAGACAGATAGATAGATAGATAGATAGAGAGAAACATAGATGTGAGATACATCGATCTCACATTGGTTGCCTCCCTTGATTGCAGCCAGAGAACAAACCTGCAGCCCAAGTATGAGTCCTTGTCCTTTGAGGCATGGGCTGACGTTCTAACCACTGAATAACACTGGCCAGAGCCGGGCAGATATTTTTGTATCATTTATTACCTCGGGGAAATAAAGGCATATCATTTTAATGCCTTTGCAGTTTTGCTTTTTCATGTGTAGCTTGTTATTGGTGAACTATGTCTAGAAATTTTGGTTGCATTTGAAAAATTTCACATCTTGAAAATATTATTTTCAGCCCTAGATTGTTTGGCTCAATGGCTAGAGCATCAGCCTGCAGACTAAAGGGTCCTAGGTTCACCTCCAGTCAAGGGCACATACCTAGGTTGTGGGCTTGATTGATCCCCAGTGGGGAGCGTGCAGGAGGCAGCAGATCAATAATTCTCTCTCATCATAGATGTTTCTATCTCTTTCCTTCTCCTTTCCTCTCTGAAATCAATAAAAATATATTAAATATATATATATATTTTCAGAACATTTGTATAGTCCTGAGTATTTAATTGCACTAGCAGATCTTTCAGTGGGGAAGAGCTTAGTACCAAGTTCTTATATATATTTTTAAAATTACTAAAGTAATAAGTGTCCTTTGTTTAAAAAAGAACTAAAGACAATGCAAAAATGAAATTTTTTCTTCCCAATAAATACTATATGCTTTGGGTTTTTCTTTCATCCCCAAAATTATACTTAATGCTTCTGATTCTAAGTGCTTTACATATATTAACCCACTAACCCCTCACAATGCTATGGATATACCCTATGAAATAGGTTCTATTTACAGGTTTTTCATTTACAAGCGAAGAAACTGAGGCATGGACAGGTTGCACACCGAGTCAGCAGCAACACTGAGATTTGAGCCCAAGTAGTTTTGCTTTATAGTGTGTGTTTTAGCCTCTGGAATCTTACCATGCATAATGTTGTGTGTGTTTTTTCACTTAATGATACATGCTAGACATCTTCCCATGTATCACCACCTCCTTCTTAATAATTATGTAGTCTTCCGGGATAGAGGCGAACCATAACGTAAGTTAGTGTCTTTCAAATTTAATCTTCTCCAATATTTTCAATCCCATTAGTAATTATTTCAAGTAATATTTTTAAAATTTCAAGATTTTTGAATTGCAGTAGTGAGGATATGTTAGCATTTGTTAAGTAATGCACACTAACTGTCCAGATGTTTTGAAGTTCTCTCAGTTGAGTTGTATAGTGAAACCTGGCTTACCTCACAGCGATTTGTTTTGCGTGCATTTATTATGTTTGTGGTTAGCCTGAGTAACTCTGGAAATTCAGTGGTGTGCTGGGGATAGAATTGATATCTGTTTGGATTTTATTTATTTACTTTTGTTAGGGTCTGGAGTTTTGGTGTTATACCAAGAAGTCCGTGGTATTAGTTTGAAATTTGAGTACTATCTGACTTGATATGATTTGCATCCTCCAAGTAGCCTGCCTTTCAATGCCCTGTATTCGTGCCAAGAACAGTTGTTACTATGTCCATTCTTTCTTCTACAGTGCTTTACTCTTGTTTCAAATATACCAGCTAAAGAGACTGAAGTATCCCTTGTTTCCATTTTTATCGCATTGATATCCCTCTCCACACTTGGGAGCCTGTGCTTGTTTTTTTTTTTTTTTTTTTTTTTTTTTTTTTTTTTAATATATTTTATTGATTTTTCACAGAGAGGAAGGAAGAGGGATAGAGAGCTAGAAACATCGATGAGAGAGAATCATCGACCAGCTGCCTCCTGCACACCCCCTACTGGGGATGTGCCCACAACCAATGTATTACATGCCTTGACCGGAATCGAACCTGGGACCTTTCAGTCCACAGACCGACACTCTATCCACTGAGCTAAACTGGTTTCGGCATGCTTGTTTTTTCTATGAAGAGGGAATATTTGTTAGTTCATTAATAACTATTTTAAATATGTCCATTGAAAAGTTAGTAGATGTTTTCAACTTAAATTCAGTTACTGTTTCTTAGTCATTTTGGGACTGAGTTAGCAGCAGCTTGGTTGATAGCTAACTGGAGTATTGCTCTTCGTCAGTCACTTATTATTTATCAACTCAAGCATTCATTCAGCACCTGCTAAAGGCTAGTCCCTCTGCTAAGTAATGGGGATACCTAGAGGACTCTGGCCCTACTTCAGGGAACTTGGAGGTTTGTGGAGATAACTTTTTTTTGCAAACAGTGTAAAATGCTGTGGTAGAGATGAGCCCAAATGAGAAAGAATCTGAGTTAAGAGTAAAATTTCCTTGGTTTGAGCTGGGCCCAGATGGCTGAGTAGGATTTAACTGGCCAATGAGAAGAGAGACAAAGGGTTCTAAATAGAGTACATATAGAAATCTGGTCTGTGAAAACCACTAGAAATTACCATTAGAATGCCATGAGAATGCAGGCCCTTCAAGAGCAGATCTCACTTAGCACATAGTAGCTGTTTAATAAACATTTGTTGAAAGGAATGTGTTAAATAATGTTTACTGTGCTTGTCCATATTTTGTAAGAGATGAACTCATTTTTAATACCTGACAATTTTTCGATCACGTGGCTTAACAAAACATTGTAAAATGAGTAAGAAACAGTTTCTGGCCCTAGCTGGCTTGGCTCAATGGATAGAGCATAGGCTTATGGACTGGAGGGTCCCGGGTCCAGTTCCGGTCAGGGGCACATGCTGGGGTTGTGGGCTCAATCCTTAGTAGGCGACATGCAGGAGGCAACCTATCAATGTTCTCTCTCATCACCTATGTTTCCATCACTCTCTCCCTTTCCCTTCCTCTCTGAAATAAAAACATTAATATATATATATATATATATATATATATATATATATATATTAATGTTTTTTTATATATATATATTTTCTTTTTAAAAATTTATATTTTATTGATTTTAGAGAGGAAAGGAGAGGGGGAGAGAGAGAGAAACATCAAATGATGAGAGAGAATCATTGATTGTCTGCCTCCTGCACATCCCCTACTGAGGATCGAGCCCACAACCCAGGCATGTGCCTTTGGCTGGAATAGAACCTGGGACCCTTCAGTCCAAAGGCTGATGCTCTATGCATTGAGCCAAACCAGCTAGAACAGTAATTAGACATTTTCAATAGAGAAAACATGAAACGCGATTCTCATACCATAAAACATTTGAAACAACTTTGTCTTTAGAGTCCTTCTCTTGAGTCACAGCAGTTTGATCAGGCACAGTTGCTAACATTTATTATGTGTATCCTCCTTGGAACTTTTTATGCTTTTCTAATTCACAGATTTCACTCTATCAGGCTGTGCTTCTTTTCTGTGTTCCGTGTTAGAGTAGGTATGTTTGCTTATCAGGAGTTGGCAAACCCTTTCTGTAAAGGGCCAGATAGTAAATATTTTAGGCTCTGTGGGCTGTATGGACTCTGGCAACTGTTCAACTCTGCCACTGTAGCATGAAAGCAATTTTAGATAATGTATAAACAAGTGGGCATGACTCTATTTCAATAAAACTTTATGTATACGGACAGGCAGTCAGCTGAATTCGGCCCATAGGTCTTAGTTTGCCATTGTGGAAACCCAGTGCACTTTGCTCTTTCAATTTCAATTAAAATTTCCCCATTAAAATCTTGTCAATTTGGGCTCTTAGTGATAAGTGTTCATAACATGAGTTTAAAATTTTTTTTTTTTTAATATATTTACCTTATTGATTTTTTACAGAGAGGAAGGGAGAGCGACAGAAAGTTAGAAACATCCATCAGCTGCCTCCTGCACACCTCCTACTGTGGATGTGCCCGCATTCAAGGTACATGCCCGTGACTGGAATGGAAACTGGGACCTTTCAGAACGCTCTATCCACTGAGCCAAACCAGTTAGGGCAAGTTCAGATGTTTAAGATCTGATTTAACTTGCATTGGTGTAATCAACTTTGTTTTGTAGAAATGTGATAAGCGGAACTAATTTAATATTCTATATTTTAAAAGTCTAATTTTTGACCACTCCAAAAAGAAATTATCTAGCTTGGGAAATGTTTGCAAATTTCAGGATACAAATTCTTGTTGTGATTGACCTGGACAGAAATACAGATCAGGCGAAATTAAGACCTGGTGGTCCAGAGTAGATTTTGATAAAGTCGGCTTTAGGGTTCGATGGAAGGGAGAGAGATCTTGCCAAATACATGCGAAGTTGTCTGGGGTTTCCATTTTTGAATCCTGCTGTTGGAAGCCTGGAGAATTCATCAAGGGGTGATCTTAATTGGAGCACACAGGCTCATTTCTGACTTCTGCAGATGACTTAGTATAGTCTGGCATTTGGGAGGGGTTGGGAAGGTTTTTATCAAAGTGCTTTGAAAATACTAACCTGTCAGCATAGGGTAGATTTAAGCGAAAAGAATTAGGCAGAGAAACACATTAGGAAATTTTTTTCAATTATCTGGATTCCTGTGACTAAGGAGCCCTGACCAGTGTGGCTCAGAGGGTTGGATATTGTCCCGTGCACCAGGAGGTTGTGGTTTGATTTCTGGTTAAGGGACATTCCTGGGAGGTAGGAGGCTTGAAGAAAGCAGCCAATTGATGTTTCTCTCTCATGTCCATGTTTCTCTCTCCCTTTGCCTTCTCTCTCTCTAAAAAATAAAAATTAATGAAAACTTTTTTAATTATTGTTTTGGAGAGTAGACCACTACCTGTTATTTGACAGCATTCTGACCTGCTTATAGAAAGAAAAGCAATAAAGCTTATAACTTTTGGACTTGATTAAAGAAAAAGTCCTTAGCAAATTTGTCTGGACAGTGCTCGCTTCGGCAGCACATAGACTAAAATTGGAACAAAACAGAGAAGATTAGCATGGCCCCTGCACAAGGACGACACACAAATTCGTGAAGCGTTCATATTTTTTTTAAAAAGTCTCTACAGCTGAAGCCGGTTTGGCTCAGTGGTAGAGCGTCGGTCTGCGGACTGAAGGGTCCCGGGTTCGATTCCGGTCAAGGGCATGTACCTTGGTTGCGGGCACATCCCCGGTAGGGGGTGTGCAAGAGGCAGCTGGTCGATGTTACTCTCTCATCGACGTTTCTAGTTCTCTATCCCTCTCTCTTCCTCTCTGTAAAAAATCAATAAAATCTATTTAAAAAATAAAAAATAAAAATAAAAAGTCTCTACAAAAATGTCTTTGAAGACATTGAGGCTATTGAAAGGTTTGGAAGGTGAGTTCTGGTTTAGATTAGGTGGAACTTTTAAGTGTTAATTTTTTAACTGCAGCAACATTTGAAGGTTTTAATTTCTGAATTGCATAAATCGGTTCATGTTTTGCTGAGCATTGGAAACCTTTGATGTGTCCTCTCTTCTCGAACAGTATTTTGGTTGTAATTAGACTGTGAGATCCTTGAGAGTAGGGGACCTGGCGAGGTGCCAGCAAAAACTCAATTGTGTTTCTTGTTGAATTAAATTGTATGAAAGCAGCAAGAAGGGCACCATTTGAGAAGTTCTAAAATACCTTTTCCTGGTTTCTCATTATGGAAAATTTCGGATACACAGAAACTGTTGAAGAATAGCGCAGTGATCACCATATACCCACCACCCAGATTCAACAGTTGTTTAAGTTTTACTTTTGATATTTTTTCTGAACCATCTACAAGAAATTGCAGAAATGATAATACTTCCTCATACTTGTGTATGCATCTCCTAAAAATAAGATCTTTTCCTGTTTAACCACAGGATTTCTGAGTCATTCTTGTAGAGATCAGGGTCAAGTGTACTAACTCTGTCACCTCTGTGTGGCCTTGCACAAGTTATTGGATATTTCTGACCTCAGTTTCCTAAGCTGCAAGTACCTATCTCAGGAGGGATATTATAAAGGTTGTGTGAAATTCTTAGAACCATACCAGGCACAGTTTTCAGTTTATAAAGCGTTTTCTCATATAAATTCTCAATTGAGGTGAAGAACACCACACCCACCATTGTTCCCAGAGCGGGAAACTTCTACCTCACCTTCCCCATATGTAGGTGTCAACAAATCTCATAATTTCTATCTCCTAACACCTCCCAATTTTGTCCTGTTCTTTCCATTGCTACTGCAAAAGTTCTTGTGTATCAACAATTTCTTAATCTGTCTTCATCTAGTTCCATTTCCCCAGACTCATCCCCACCTCCTCTTCCTTTTCTTTTTTTATTTTGAGAGAGAAGGAGAAGCTTCCATTTGTTGTTCCATTTATTATGCATTCATTGGTTGATTCTTGTATGTGCTCTGACCAGGGTTTGAATCTGCAGCCTTGGCGTATTGGGACGATGTTCTAACCAGTTGAACTACCCAGCCAGGGCTCTTCATCCTTTTCCTCACTGCCAGAGTTTATGTTCTCAGCTACACATTTAATCGTATTAACTCCATTAAAAACTCTTTTCCCAGCACCTGCAGTGCCAAGTCCAAACCTCTTAATTCTAGCTTCTATGTATCTTCTGTCTCTGTAGCCTTATCTCTCATAATACTCTTCCTCCACTCCTCCCACCTCACTCTTAACACACGCAAACACATGTGTCCGCAAAGTAGTGTGCCCCGCGTTGTTCTCTAAATATATTCTGTGTTACATACTTCTGTGCTTTTGCTATTTGGCTTCTTCTGTTTGGAATTCTACCCCCACCTACCATCCTCTTTATGGCTGGCAGAACTTGACTTTTAAGACTAGGTGTAGGTAGTTAACTCCTCAGTTGTTCCTTCTCTCTTGTCCCTACTCTACATTCTAGTCTTATAAGTAGTAGGAGTCTGTAAGTACCCTGTTTCCCTGAAAATAAGACAGTGTCTTATATTAATTTTTTCTCCCTAAGTTGCACTAGGTCTTATTTTCAGGGGATGTCTTATCTTTCCATGCGCTAGGTCTTATTTTTGGAGGATGTCTTATTTTCGGGGAAACACGGTAGTAGCATCATACTCATACCATTTTCGGGCAGCCATTTACTGCATGTCTGTCTCAGTCTAGTAGATTAAAAAGTCCTTGAAGGCACACAGTAGTTTTTATCCTTTTTTTGATTCCTAGTATCTAATACAGTTTGTTGCTTGTAATCAGGCACAAAACAAATGTAGATAGCATGTTCACGTTTTGTGGATGAAAAAAAATTGAGATTCAGAGAATATGCAATTTGCACCCAATGTAGCAGAACTAATTAATGAGCATACAGATCTTTAAGGGCCAATTTCAGTGCTGCTTTCATTAACTATACTTCTCAAATATTATAATTACAGCCATTTGATGAGTGATTCTGTGCTTAGTCTATGGACTTAGAGCCCCCTAGAGGATCTTAAGAGTTCCCACATGGAAGTCTACAAAGTCCTATGCATTTTCTGTAGACTGAGTTAGTGAGGTTATATATGTGTATGTATGCATGTCACCAATTTTTGGAATGTACACAGATGTCCTTGTGACTAATAGTGAATTGTGTTGGTGAAGTGGGCATACTTATATCTTTTGAGAGGAAAGTAGTAAGGGGCTTTAACCATATAGAAGAGTTGGAATAACGTCTTTGCATTGTTTACTAGGGAATTGATAAGGTACAAGAAAGTACTTTTTGAAAGCAATTAAATTCAGATTAGATGGTAATATCTGAAATTTTCCAAGTCATCAGTAGTTCATTAAAATAAAAGAAAGTAAAACATTTTCTGAAGCCAAACATAATCAAAAGTTGTTAAATTTATTTCTTTAAATAAGGTGGTTTTACATATAATTTCAGCTGGTGCCATAATGTTTAAATTTTTTGTCTTAGCACCAAAATATTTTATATATATATGGATACGTTTTCATTGAATCTCTAAACACATTGGAAGTTCTGTGGTCTAGGTTGTCTTCTCTTTTCAAATCTAAATTCACTACAAGTTGTATTTTATCAGTTCTAAATATGTCCATTAAGGACACTTAAAATCTGACTGGCTGGAACCACTTTCCCCCCATCTTTACTGAGATGTAACTGAAATATAATGTATATTTAAGGCATTTAATATGATACAAGTATGTATTGCAAAATGTTGACCATAGTAAGGTTTAGTCAACACATCCTTCACTTCACATAATATCATTTTCTTGTTGTGTTGTTATGGTGAGAACATTAAAGCTTTATTCTCATAGCAACTTAGGAGTATACAATCATTGTGCTTAATTCTTAATGAGAAGAGTTTTTCTAACTTAATGACTGCCTGCTGTCTGGACACGGCGTTGTATTCTGCTCCCTGGGCCACAGGCACTTCTACTGTTGATATAAAGCATTTGTGGTCTGGCAGGCATTCTAGGTTTAAGGGCATAGCTTAAATAATAATGCTTTAAAATATGTGTGCTATTTTAGCTACTAGGTAAACAAGAATTGTGTAATGGCATTCATTCCTTTGGCAAATATTTATTCAAATCCTGCTGTATCAGGCCCTCTCCTCATCCCTGAAATTACAGCTGAGTGAACAAAACGGACAAGCCTCGGCTCTGGTGGCCCTACCTTCGGGTGGGGGAGCCATGCTCTAAGCATGAGGAGCATGCAAGTGGGTATCTGTGATAGAATCCTGGACAGGGGCCAGTGCTTTAGAGAAAGCCAGGAGAAGGCATAGGAAGTGGCATTTTCCAGTTTAGAAACAGTTCTTTGAGAAGGCCTTCTTAAAGAGACATGTGAGCAGAGAGGCCCACATGAAGTAAAGGCCTGATCAGTAACCTTGCAAAGACAGCAGGAGGAATAGCCTTCCAGACAGAGGGATCAGCCACTGCTGAGGCTTCGAGGACTTTCTAGGAGGGGAATAGAGTGATCTCCGCCATGGAGAGAACAGACTCCAGTAAGAAAGGAAGCAGGAGATCAGTGAGGAAGTAGTGGTTATGGAGCTTCAGGTGAGCGATGATGGAGTGGTAAGAAGTAGTCAAATTTGAGATGTATTTTGAAGAGTCGACAGAATACGGTGATTGACTGCAGTGTGAAAGAGCTGTCAAGAAAACTGCAGGGTCAGTAAGTAGACACTGGACTGGAAGGATATACACAAGGTTTTTGCAGTGGCTATTCTGTATTAAAATAAACATAGGGATTACTTTAAAATTAGAGTTAACCATGCTACTAAATATAGCTTAATTCTTTTTAAGATTTTTCATTGATTTTTAGAGTAAGGGTGAGGGAGAAAGAGTAACATTGATGAAAGAGTGGAACTTAGATCAGCTGCCTCCTGCGCGTGCGCACACACACACACCCACACACACACACCCTCACCAGTCATCAAGCCTGAAACCCAGGCAGTGTCCTGACCAGGAATCAAACCAGCAACCTTTCAGTGCACAGGATGACACCCAACCAACTGAGCCACACCAGCCAGGGGTTGTAGCTTAATTCTTAATGTATTCTATCCCTTTTGATTTGATAAACAGTTTTACTAACATGACATTTTAACATTTGTCTTTTTAGTCTCAGTGATCAGCCTTTGTACCTTTTTCACATTTGAAGATGGTGAAGTTAGACATTCATACTCTGGCCCATCATCTCAAGCAGGAACGCCTATATGTGAACTCTGAGAAACAACTCATTCAGAGGCTCAATGCAGATGTGCTTAAGACAGCTGAAAAGTTGTATCGTACAGCATGGATTGCTAAGCAACAGAGGATTAATTTGGATCGACTTATCATAACCAGGTAAATAGAAGATTTTGAGGTCTTTTGTAAACCATTATGGTTCTGTGTTAACTGCTAACTATAAATAAATGAATCTATTGCCAACAAAGTGCTTGCTTTAAGATGGTTTAAGTGAACATTAAGGTGAGTCTGCTTACTTTGTTTATTTTAAATCACTTAACACTGTTATGGAGAATTATAACTTAAGTATTTGTATTTTATACCACACCAATTAATTTTGTATCTTTATACATATACATTTTATCAGTGTAGACAGTAAGTGATCTTTGTTCTCCTTTTCCTCTAACATAATTTAATATGTAAATTTCCATGTTTTGCTATTGTATATCTGCTTTTCCGTTTTAGAAACCTTGTTTTTCACTGTGTTAATACCTCATGTTCTGTTATTCCTTTCTTCCTCCATCCTTCCTTCCCTCTTTCCTTCCCTCCCTCCCTCTTTCCTTCCCTTCCTTCCTTCCTTCCTTCCTTCCTTCCTTCCTTCCTTCCTTCCTTCCTTCCTTCCTTCCACATTCAGGTGCTGATGGTCTGAAAGATTTTAGCAATGAGTGATTTCATCAGAACTATAATCAACTCACATTCCGTGTTTCATATAGTATATGTGTGATATTATTGTTGTTAATTTTTGTTTTGCTTGTCTGCTCATTTTTTAGTGCTGAAGCTTCCCCTGCTGAATGTTGCCAACATGCCAAGATTTTGGAAGATACGCAGTTTGTTGATGGATATAAGCAATTGGGATTCCAGGAGACTGCTTATGGAGAATTCTTGAGTCGATTAAGGGAAAATCCTCGTCTCATTGCCTCCTCTCTGGTTGCTGGAGAGAAACTCAATCAGGAGAACACACAGAGTGTTATATACACAGTTTTTACCTCCCTCTACGGCAACTGCATTATGCAAGAAGATGAAAGCTACCTCCTTCAGGTTTTGAGATACTTGATTGAATTTGAACTTAAAGAAAGTGACAACCCCAGGCGACTCTTGAGGAGAGGAACTTGTGCCTTCAGCATCTTATTTAAACTTTTTTCTGAAGGACTGTTTTCTGCCAAACTTTTCCTCACGGCTACTTTACATGAGCCAATCATGCAGCTGCTTGTGGAAGACGAAGATCATCTGGAAACAGATCCAAATAAACTCATCGAGAGATTCTCCCCATCTCAACAGGAAAAGCTCTTCGGAGAGAAAGGCTCAGATCGATTCAAGCAGAAGGTCCAAGAGATGGTGGATTCCAATGAGGCCAAACTGGTGACTTTGGTGAACAAGTTTATCGGTTATCTCAAACAGAACACATACTGCTTTCCACACAGTCTGAGGTGGATTGTGTCACAGATGTACAAAACTCTCTCCTGTGTAGACAGACTGGAAGTTGGGGAGGTCAGGGCCATGTGCACTGACCTCCTGTTGGCCTGCTTCATTTGTCCTGCCGTTGTCAATCCGGAACAGTACGGGATCATTTCCGATGCTCCTATTAATGAGGTGGCAAGATTCAATCTGATGCAGGTATGCTTTGTTATTATTAATATGGCATTCAATTTAAGATCAATTGATGAGGCAGTGGGGGTGGGAACAGAAAATGTGATGACAGCTATCATTCATAGGTTCCTACCAGTCTCTTTTCTTTAGACTGTCCTAAATATTTGCTTCTTAAGACATAAAAGCAGTCACATTGGGATTTAAAAATATTCTTGTCATAAAACATTTCGTGTTAGATTTTAACTGGAGTCCTCATTCACGTGAATGATTGCATTTTTCTAGAGCAAGCCCTTTGTCCACTTCCCATGATTTCAAAATCCAGAATGTTTGAAAACTGAATCTTTTTACTTCATTTGCTAGCAAAATCCAGCCTGAACTAACAGGCTATTTATAATTGTTTGTTATTCCACTTAGTGCTAATGAATACTCATGTTTTTCTGTTGAAATGTTGACATGTTTGATTATAGGATGCTATCCTAAAAACTGGACATGCTACATATATGTACTAACCAACCTTTCTAAAGTCTCCAAAGTTTGAAATATGAAACTCAGAAAGAGGATTTTTGGATCCGTATTAACACTTTCACCCCCTAATTATCTGCTATTATTTCTTAAGCAAATCTTTTAATCATGTCTTATCACTCAGAAATACTGTGAAGAAAAAAGACTGAGTTTATTTGAAATAGAATCTATCTTTGGATGAGTGGTGTGTGTTTTTAAATGATAAGTTTCTGTGTGTTTTTTTATGATTAGTTTGTCATATCAGGCTATTGAGCAATTAACTATATAAAAATCCCTGAAATAAAATTAAAAACTTATTTTCATCTGTGAAATACTAAATTTATTCTTGTGCTAATGTAGTTGTAGTTTTTATTTTTGATATTCTAACAGAGAGGGAATCAAATATTTTCAAAATGAGTAATAATGGGGAGATTATCCTAGATATTAAGAAGATGATGCTATATGATGTTAACTTTCAGCAACATGTCTTTAAGGAGAGTGGGTTAACAGTTCACTTTTGGCAATAAGGAACTTGCTCTGTGAAGTTTACTTTCCAAACAGCCTATGTTTTGTAGAAATTGTTTGTGTTTAAATTTAGAAAACAAAATCTCTACCTGGAGTACTTTATGAACTACATAGAATAAAGTAACTTGAAATAGTTTGAATCAACTCTGACAAACTAATTTCTTAAAGTTTCTGAGCATATGAAAAGTACACCATCGGAAACAAAGATGTGTTTTTATTTCCTAATGAAGATTAAATATGTTAACGAAAAATTAAAGCAAGATCTTCTACTTATTCTGTATAACTCTAAATATAGTAAAACCTGGTGCTGACAGGATGCACAGGTGGGACCCTGTTCTGTCTGGTTGGGTGGTATGAGCATTATTCTGCACCAGCATAGAGCGGAAGTGCTTTCACAGAGAGAGGACTTTGCGTCTATAACCTGTCTCCCCTCCGCTGCTCTGAATTGCAGGTCGGCCGCCTGCTGCAGCAGTTAGCAATGACTGGCTCTGAAGAGGGGGATCCCCGGACCAAGGACAGTCTTGGAAAATTTGACAAAGTAAGAATGAATACTATGTCACGTGAAATACTATTTGTAGAAAATTCTGCCAAAGTATTAGCAAGCCTAACTTTTCCCTTTCTTAAATCTCGTCCTTAGGTGTTGTATAAATTGGTCTTTTTCATTGACTCTTGGTGTGTCATAATGTTGGATCAGCAGCACTTAATGGAAAATATCACTAAAGATGACTAATTTTCTCTCATAGAAGTGTCAAGGAGATGCCATTGTAATGAGAACCAAGGAGTTATTAAGATTATTTTATTTCTTGCCCTAGTCAGTTTGGCTCAGTGGATAGAGCGTAGGCCTGCAGACTGAAAGGTCTCAGGTTCGATTCTGGCCAACGGTACATACCCGGATTGTGGGCTTAATTCCCAGTAGGGAGTTTGCAGGAGGAAGCCAATCAATGATTCTTTCTCATCATTGTTGTTTCTCTTTCCCTCTCAAATCAATATAAATAAAAAAATAGATTATTTTATTTTAGGAAATTTAATTTTTAAAAATTGTTACTTAATAACTAATTTTAAGTGTATTTCACAAATTAATATTTATGGTATTGTTCAATTTAAATAAAATTTTAATTAATCATATTTGAGTAGGCACATTCAGCCTATTATAAAATTCAGAAGTTATACAGTGAAATATCCCTTCTACCTTTGATCACTAGTCTTAATTTCCTCCCCACAAGGAAAGTGACAAGTCTTGTGTATGCTTCAAGAGTTCTATATGTATACCAGCAAATTCCTTCATATATTTTCCCAGTCCCCCATCTTTCCTTTCACAAATGGTAAGATAGTGTGTGATCTTCTGTATCATGTTTGTTTCTTGTACCAGAGTATCTTGGAGATTATTCTGTATCAATTCTTAGGGAATTTAATTGTTTAAATATTAGTTTGATATAATTTTTAAGAAGAAAAACTTTTTGCACGCTTGTCCACCTTAATCAGAAATCTGTTTCCTTATTTTAAAGGGGAGGTCTTTCACTGTGATCTTCTCCTGTTTTAACAGAGCTGTGTTGCTGCTTTCCTCGATGTTGTGATTGGGGGCCGTGCCGTGGAAACCCCTCCAATGTCCTCTGTGAATCTTCTGGAAGGATTGAGCAGAACTGTGGTTTATATAACCTACAGTCAGCTTATTACTCTGGTAATGGCTTTATTCTTTAATAGGATTTTCTCAGAAGTCATTTATCTAAGCATGGGCAGAGTCATACATGAGTACATTGTGTCAGAAATATATATTGTGTATGAAATATTGATTTCAGTTGCTAATATCCCTTTATTTTTGCCAGGTGAATTTCATGAAGAGTGTGATGTCTGGAGACCAACTGAGAGAAGATAGAATGGCTCTTGACAATTTATTGGCAAACCTGCCCCAGGCAAAGCCAGGGAAAAGCAGCAGTTTGGAAATGACTCCCTACAATACTCCTCAGTTGTCTCCAGCAACCACTCCAGCAAATAAAAAGAATCGATTGCCTATAGGTAAAGAGACTTTCTCATATTGGGCTTTGCCTTAAATTTAATACTTCTTTGTTAGCCTTCGTTATTGCTCAGTGCTTCGAAATACAGTTTTAAATAATTTGGAGACATCTTTCTCCATGTTTTCTGATAGCAATTCAGTTTTTTACAATTACACTAGAATAATTAAGTTTTAGCAGTTGGCTTTTGCTTTATCTAAATGTACTTTTCATAATTATTAATAATTGAAATCATGCCACGTATGGTATACTTTGTATTTTAGTATCTTGTCTTGGAAAATTGTGAAAGTGTCAGTTGTTATAACCAGTCATTACTTAAATTATAAAGTTCTGAATAATATAATAAAATAATATTAGAAGTTTCTATAAAGTTCTGAATAATATAATAAAATAATATTAGAAGTTTCTATCAGTAAAGTTGAAACTACATAAGTACTATTTTTTTCATTATTGTTATTAATAATCAGTATTGCCCTAGCTGGTTTGGCTCAGTGGATAGAGCATTGGCCTGAGGATTAAAGGGTCCTGGCTTCAATTCTGGTCAAGGGCACATGTAGGGCACATGTAGGAGCCAGCCGATTAATGATTCTCTCTCTCTCCCTCTCCGTTCCTCTCTGAAATCAATAAAAATATATTTAAAAAGTAATAATAAGTTTTTTATCAGTTGAGCAATCTTTTATTTTTTAATAAAATAAAGCAAAAATCCCATTTTATTTAGTTGTTTATTCCTTTATTTAAAAATTAGGCTTATATTTTATTCACTTAGTAAACATCTATTATCTAGCTATGCACCAGAAATTTAATTGAGCATATATTGGGTACCAGACACTGGGTAAGCACTTTATAAATGTGTTTCGTTTAATCTCCATGCAAAAGTGCACACTAAAAGAGTAGGTATTACAATCACTGTCCTGCAGGTAGGGCACGGTGTCAGACACTGGGGATATAAAGGCCTCAGGACCTGTCCGTACTCTAACTTAGCCGCCCCAGTCTAGTTGGGGAAAAGAGAAAGAGACATTGGCCTTCCGTGTTCCGTGTTTGATGGCGATGTGCGCAGAGGACTACCAGACGCCTAGAGAAGGTGGCCCTGGAGCGGGTGAAGCCTGCACTTTCTCTTGAAGGACCAAGGGAGTTCCACAGAGTAGACAAGACTGGGAAAGAGTGTTTAGGCCGAGGGCATGCAGTAGTTCTCCACCATTTTTTTTCATGATAATGAGGAGCTCGGCTATAGTTACTAAAGTTTACACATTTGGAAGAATGAGCTGATATGTTAAGAACTATCAGTTTCTTAAAATTAATCTACCTTACATTTAATATAATATGGAATATTATCATCCACAGGAATGTGACATCATATTCTTCAGTGTTTGGCTTTCATCGTTCCAAAATGTAAATTTTCAGAATTAAAAATAGGAAAAAAAAGTTTGACATTCAATGATTTTTAATGTTGTAGGCTATTTTTACTCTTTTTAGCATGAAGAAATGAGTGATTTTTGGTATATTAGGTATTTTCTCTCCATATTCACTGCCATACATTAATTCTTCCACTTCAAAACTTCCAGAAGTATATTACATATGGGTAGAATGGAAAGTAAATCTCAGTTTTTCCAGTCGTATTTTGTATAGTCATGTGACTTGGTCATTGAATTTTTTTCCTATTTTAAAAAATGTATCCATTATTCAGAGGGTTGATTTTCTTTCTGTTTAACGCTTTCGCAACCCAGGACAACAGTTAGCAGCCATCACTGCCTGGGATTCCTCAGCCACCAACCTTACAGCTCATATTACTCTAGTAACCCCGTTTGGTGGGTAATAGGCTGTTCTTACTCTTCTTGTGTAACTTTTTTTTAAGAAAAAATTATAAAAGTGTGCTCCATGTGCATGTTGCTTTTGCTTTGTGTTCCATGAATTTTGGTCACTTGCGTTTTTATAAATTAGGAGATTTGTTACTTAAAATTCATGAAGTTCATGAAGATGAATTTAAGTTCACAATTCAGTAGAAGATAGTGAGGTGAACCTGACTTTTGAGAGTTGACGTGTGCCCTAAAGTTTTGAAAGTAAGAGTGATTAATCAACACAGCTATAGCATTGTGGAGAGAAGACGATTATCTATATTTCTGTCTTTAAGGAGGTCAGCTTTCACTCAAAGTGAAGTTGAAAAACTTGTTACTAAAAAGTGCTTTGCTTTATGTCTCTACTTTTTATTATTTTGCCCTGAAGTAGACTTTCTAGTTAGTGTTCTGGTTGCGTTGAACTTTGTTGACCTCTGAAAGAAAATAGAAACCACAGAAGACTACAGTTCACAGAGAGATTATTATCAACTACCCAAATCTTTCTGAAGTTCTTGTAAGATCTATAGGATGGCTTATTTTAGGAAAAAGTGTCAGGTAGGGGAAAACACCCCCAAATACTAGATTCTGTATTTATTTAGAATGTTTCCAGGAAGCACAAAGGAAATTTGTTTTCAAACATAGAGGAATCGCTCCTCTGTCTTTGGAAAGAGGTTAATATATTTCAGGAAAACACTCTTTTCAAAAACAGATTCTGGTTTTTCAATAGTTACCTAATTAATTATTAATGTACATTACTTTATATGGCTACCAGATTTCTATATGAAATTTTCTAATGCTTTTGAGTTATTAGTATGGGAGACCTGTGGCAGTTAAATCATTTTATAGGTGAAATAATTGAAAATGTCTTGAACAGATAAGAAATAAGGTAGGTAATGCTTTTCTTGTCATCCCAAGTCTTCAATTGATGGGGACATGTTTGCTGTTCCGCAGGTGTGGTCATCTGTATGTCACTCCCTGTCAGGTGAACATGGGTCATTGTTTCTGATGATCAGTTTTCAAGGAGAATATGTATTAGTCATCAATAGAGTAACTGGGAAGATACAGGGTTTTTTTTTCTTACACATATCTTCATTCCTTTTCTGTGTGTGCATGTGCAAATGTTCTACATTCATAAAAATATTTTTGTATTTAGTGTGCCATTTTCTTCATTTTATGTTTTCCTCTAAATTGGCAAATTTAACTTCCTTTATTAGCAACCCGGAGCAGAAGCCGCACCAATGTGCTAATGGACTTGCATATGGACCACGAAGGGTCATCTCAAGAAACCATCCAGGAGGTGCAGCCGGAGGAAGTGCTGGTCATTTCCTTAGGGACCGGTTCCCAGCTTACTCCAGGGATGATGTCAGAAAATGAGGTATGAATGTATTGTTCCGTTTCACTGACAGCCACCTGTGTTTACAAATGTGGATTCTGTTCTTCTCATCCACGGCCCCTTGCTTCCATCAGTCAGTCTGCGTTAAATGGGTATTTTTCATTATCGTCAGTGGGCGTACCCATGACGCTCCATCTAGTGCTAAACTTCCTGTGTGTAGTGACAGAGGCCCTGCACGTGGGTACATTTATGTCACTGTAGTCGGTGACCAGGCCACATCTAAGGGGCTTTCCTAATAGTAGGAGAGCCAGGGAGCCAGGAAACTGTGGTATGGAAATCGAAGAGACTTTCCCAGTGACTTGTAGGAAGTGATTTATAATTATTATTATTATTATTTTTTTTTTTTTAAATTTTCTTTTTCTTTTTTTTTTTTTTTTTTTTTTTTTTTAATATATTTTATTGATTTTGTACAGAGAGGAAGGGAGAGAGATAGAGAGTTAGAAACATCGATGAGAGTCATCAATCAGCTGCCTCTTGCACACCCCCTACTGGGGATATGCCCGCAACCAAGGTACATGCCCTTGACCGGAATCGAACCCGGGACCCTTCAGTCCCCAAGCCGACTCTCTATCCATTGAGCCAAACCGGTCTCGGCTATAATTATTTTTTATCTAATGACATTCCAGTGGTATTTCTGCTTTAAAGAGCCAAACATTCTTTGGCTAGTTAGGAAGACATGGAAGAGATAACTGTGGAAATAAAACAAAAACGGAAAGTGTAAAATATTTTGAAGAAATGGGATTGAGGGTATGGAAATAAGTTTTGAGATGTTTGAAAACGAGAACTTGGGACGGGGCAAAGGGAAAGAAGAAATCTTGCCTCTCTAAAGATGGAAGCCCCTCCTCCTCTATTGCAATGTATTATCCAAAAGTGAGTGCGTCCTAGGCAAGAAAACTAGTCCTGGCCTGGAATAAGGAACCAGTTACAGGGTTGTTAAAGTGATGGTGGTCATTGGCAATGTTTGGAATTGTGACATCACTCATAGGAAAGAGAACTATCAAAGTCCCAAACTCTGTCCCTACACACACACACACACACACACACACACACAAGCACACGTACACACACAAAGAATGAGCTACAAAAACTGTCAGGATCAACGTTTTAGGAAGCCTGGAATGTAATAAAAAACATAACAACCACGGAATGCTTAATAAGGAAAAAACAAAACAGCTGAATGTCACTCAGCGTGTTCTGTGCATTTACCTTACCATGTTACTTGTCCCGACCCTCAGGGTAGTGGCAGCTTTGAAGACCGCAGTTCGTATTCCTCCGCAGGGAAATGGTCCCTTCTTTTAGTTACACTGTCTTTGGAAAGAGGTTAATATATTTCAGGAAAACACTAGTTCTCTTTCCATTTTTGAAAACACAGTGTTTTCCTGCGCAGGGAAATGGCCCCTCTCTCGGCCTGTTCAAACTCGGGCACCGTAGAGTGATGGACGGGCACAGGTTCAGTTCTTCTCACTGATACTTACACTGTTCTTCTAGCGGTTCTTCAAGCTTGATCAGAACCTTGTAGATTGGTTTTAAATAAAAATAATTTAAGGTTAAAAATAACTTAAATATGCATTTGCTGTAGTTTGTTTTCTCTCAGTTGTGGCAAACCCATGGCATTTTATCTTTCCAGGTCCTAAACATGCAACTTTCGGATGGAGGACAAGGAGATGTCCCTGTCGATGAAAACAAACTCCACGGTAAACCTGATAAAACCTTGCGCTTTTCCCTCTGCAGTGATAATCTGGAAGGCATATCTGAAGGTGAAGGGTTACTTCATTCAAGGAGTTGTGTGATTCAAGTAATGTCTTGTTTTGTGTTCTTTAAAGGAGCCTTATAAATTATAATTAAACCATCTGTGCCCCTGACGGAGGAGGCTAATGAAGTTTTCCTCTAATGGTCTTGAACAGTTGGCTATAAGATTCTTTCTGGAATAAAATTAAGATCGCAAGAAAAAAATTGTTAGAAAAAGACTGCCAGAGATCTGTGGTCATAAAAAATGGAGAAGGGCTGAGCCTTCACTGAGACTTGAATGATGCCAAGTATTGTTTTTCTGACGCTGATACATTCCAAAGCGAGTAGAGCTCCTTTAGAGGGATGCGATGCATGTCTGATCGGGAAGGAATGGACTCACTGGTGTTCCAGGATGCTGTGTGCATTCTAACGTTCTGCATATTCACACACTTACACCGCTTATGATGCAGAAAGATAAAATGAAAACAGGGATGAAAAAGAAATTTAAAGGCAAGATTAGGAAGTAAGACTATGTCATTCCATATGCTAGGATCAACTTTTTGTTTTTTTGTTAATCCTCACCTGAGGACATTTTTCCACCCATTGATTTTTAGAGAGAGTGGAAGGGAGAGGGAGAGGAGACAGAGAGAAGCATCCATTGGTTGCCTCCTGCATGCACCTCGCTCGGGGCCCAGGGATTGAGCCTGGACCAAGCTAGCAACCAGGGTGGTGTCCCTGACTGGAATCAAATCCGAGATCCTTCAGTCTGGGGCCAACACTAACCACTGAGAAAACCGGCCAGGGCAAGAGCACATTTTTTAATGAATAAGTTCAACTTTACTAACATTTTGAAATAAGCATAAAATATAGTAACTTTTTCTCTCCTCTAATTTTTCAAAGCATAAGTAACAGTTTAATTCTAGAAAATGCTGAAAAGAAATGGAATCATTGTAATCTCATCATTCTGTTAATAACAGTTAACATTTTAATTCACTTGTAGCAAGATTAAGGTTGTGCTTTTTGTAACCTTTTTTTGTTTTTTTGTTTAAAAATATAACAGTAACATTTCCCTTGATGATTAACATTCTTAAATAATATGGTGTTCAATGGCTGTTTTCTTTCATAGTTTGTTTAAACATTATTCTATGTAGTTTGCTTCTGCTTTTCACTTATAAGAAGCCCTGAAATAAGCAACCTTAGATGAGTTTTTGAACACTTCCTTAGGGTAATTCTCTGGAGGCTGAATTACTGGCCTAAAGGGCATATATATATATATATATTTTAAGGTATAACTGCACTAGTAAAAGCACTGTAGTCTTTAATGTGGTACCTTATCAAGGCATGAAAAATTGCATTTCCACTTACATTTCTCTAGGTCCTTCCAATCGCTCCAATTCAGTGTCCTCTCTTGACCTGGAAGGAGAGTCTGTGTCGGAACTGGGAGCAGGACCTTCGGGAAGTAACGGGGCTGACGCTCTGCAGCTGCTGGAGCATGAGCAAGGTAAGCTGGAGGGGACAGCTGCTCACGTGGCAAGAACTCCCCTGGTTCCAAGGTGAATGATGTGCCGCCATGTAAGTTGGCTGTTGCAATAAGAATACATTTTTTTTAATTGTTTGAAGTATTACAAATAGTAGTACATATGTCTCCTTTTCCCCCATTGACCTCCCACCAGCCTCCCCTATCTCCCCTATCCCCCAGTACATGCTCCCCCCCCCCCCCCCCCCCGTGTCTTGTATCCATTGGTTATACTTATATGCATGCGTACAAGTCCTTCGGTTGACCTTTTACAGCCTCCCCACACCCCCAACCTCTCCTTCCTTCCTGCTGTAATTTGACAGTCTGTTCAATGCTTCTTTGCCCTGTAACTATTTTGTAAGAATACATTTCATTATATAATGAGCATTAAACTTGCACTGACTCATGGTCCCTTCAGTTCTTAAAGATGTGGTTAGTTGGTAAGTGAATTCTTTAGACTTAAATTACATAGAATTTGTGCCTATGGTTCTGCTTTGGACTGAGCTTACTCATGCATCTCCAGTCACCAGTGACGAGTAGGGAGCTCTGCCAATCTGCGCTCGGGGTCAGGGGAGCTGGCTGGTATAATCTGACCGTTGCATCACTCCAATGTGGCCTCATCCTCCAACTGGTAGCTTAAGTGTGTTCTCACGAGAGAAGCAGGGTGAGAGAGCAGAAGCTTATAATGGTGATTGAGGCCTAGCCTCACAGCTGATGACACATTTCCTCCATACCCTTTGACCAATGCAAGTAGCAAGGCCTCTGCAAATCCAGAGAGAGGGGAATATATCCTGATTCTTGATAGAAGTCACATCACAAAAGCTGAGGATACAGGGAGACCATTGTATCGATGGCCCCCGCTAATCTCCCAGAGGGGGAATACGTATACTGGGCTCAGTTCACCCAGGAAAGCCTACATCCAGGGGGGAATAACCCAGTGTTTTTTGGTACTATGTACCCTGTGTTAATTATAAAATATGTAAAATGAAGTTTGAAGGCGTAAAGCTCTTCAAATTTGATTAAGAAATAACAGCTGTGCTACCACTTTTTAAGTGCTTAATTTTGTTTCTGATAGCCACCACACAGGATAATCTTGATGACAAGCTGAGGAAGTTCGAAATCCGGGACATGATGGGACTGACGGATGACAGGGACATATCGGAAACAGTGAGTGAGACCTGGAGCACAGATGTCTTGGGAAGTGATTTTGACCCTAACATTGACGAAGATCGTTTGCAAGAAATTGCAGGTAATTGCTATTGAATGTCTCTGGAATATTGCTGTTTAGTTATCACGGCCGCCATCCTTCGTGGGAGGGAGCTTCAGTGCTCTGACAAACGTGTTGTGTGGGTTAGCCCTAACTGGGAAACCGAGACAGCTGCCTATAGCCAGGCATTCGTGTATTTTTTTCTTTACTTAAATATAGGTATGTTTTTTTCTGTCTACATTTAACTTCACCCCCAAGCCCCAAAAGAGAAAAACCAGTCTTTTGAATTAGCTTCTCGTCTAGTCTTGTTCGTAGAGCATAATATATATTCTTAGTCTATAATTAGGACGTTCTTTAGAGACTAAACACCTATCTTAAAATGAAAATTCTGACAGACGATAGCCATAAAATCTTTTGGAATAATACGATACTGAGAGTCTGAAAGTTGAGTTTACTTTTGGAAGGATTAATACAGTTCCAAAAAGTAACTAGTTTTTTTTAAAGTACATTTTTATTGATTTCAGAGAAGAAGGGAGAGAGAGAGAGATAGAAACATCAATGATGAGATTTATTGATTGGCTGCCTCCTGCACACCCCATGCTGGGGATTGAGTCCACAACCTGGGCCTGTGCCCTTGATTGGAATTGAATCTGGGACCCTTTAGTCCGCAGGCCGACGCTCTATCAACTGAGCCAAACCGGTGAGAGCGGAAAAGTAACTAGTTTTGTTTTTTTCTTTTTTTCATCAATTTTATTGATGCACAGTTTACAAACATTAAAATTCACCCTTCTGTGATTTCTGAAAGATTCATGCGGTCTTGTAACCATCTTCTTCATTTGTTTAAAAATCATTTCAAACAAGTACAAGAGAGAATAGTGTTAAAACTTTGTGTACCCATCACTCAGCTCCAACAGTTACTCATACACATGGCTAGTTTGTTTCATCTCTTCTCCCACCCACTGCCCTTTATGCCCTCCCCCATTATGTTCAGACATTATATTTATAATTATAATTATGTCATGGGGGAAGGGGCAGGCGGAGGGAGTTAACGGGGGGAAAGGGGACATTCATAATACTTTCAACAATAAAGATAAATTAAAAAAAAATATCTGCCAGCCAGGGCAGAACTTTAGTATTCTTAACACAGGCGTACAGTAATGTTTAATCCTGTATATATTTTTAAGTATGTAAATAGATTTCTTAATTGGTTTCTATATTAGTTTGTTCCAGATGCTAAGTATTTAGTATTTTTTTCTGGCAGTAAGCTGTATTTCAGCAATAAGCTGTATTTGCAGTTAAACAAGCATTATGGAGGTGTAGTGTGTTTTCCTGCAAATACATTGTATTGCTCTGAATATGTGGCTAATGTGCCAGAAGCGGACATACTTCGGCCAGTGTAACTTGTTGCGGTTAAATGTCTCTGAGTGGTTTTAATCCTTGTAGGACTATAAATTTGAGGGAGTTATTAGGAACACACATAAAATCTGCTGAAAAACCAAGGTGAAAGCTAGTTGAAATGACTTGATCCAACAAGGTGCACAGGAGCAGAGGATGACAAAGAGCTGGTGTCACTGTGCCCGCAGTGGGAAATGTGCGTTTTTAGTGGTGTTATCGATTGAAATGGCTCTCCCTTGGCTCCTTTCTGTGGCTGGAGTAGAGAGGTTTGGTGAGGGTTAGTGTTTGGCTTTTCTCCGTTATCACCACGCTCTCCATCAGGACCTTCGTTAACCCTTTGCTCCCCACTGGTTAACAGGTGCAGCAGCAGAGAACATGTTAGGCAGTTTACTGTGCCTGCCAGGGTCAGGGTCAGTGCTTCTTGACCCCTGCACTGGTTCTACCATATCAGAGACAACAAGCGAAGCTTGGAGTGTAGAGGTTTTGCCAAGTGACTCAGGTTAGTATGCTGTCATTTGCATTTTGATTTGCACAGACGTTTTAAATGTAAGGCATTCTAATTTCTGTATATGGACATTTTGTCAGATATACATTTGACAAGTATGAGGCAATGCAATTGCTAAGAGTTTCACATGGAAAATTAGTATAAGGCATTTTCTTTCATCAAGAGAAAATGCAGTTTTGAATGGCCTGGGCCTAGATGGCAGGTGCTTTCTGACTGTTCAGTTCTTTTGGAAGCAACTGTTAGTAACTCGTCAGGGTTCTGTGTGGATTGAGTCCAGCCTCGCCTATGAACTCATCACAAAATAGGAACCCTGAGTGGTTGGATACCTGGTAAGCATGTTTAGATTTACATGGGGAGAACTTGACCCTTTTAAAAAGGTCAAGTTCTCCCCATGTAATGTATTTTTTAAATGTGCTGAAATTCAGACTCTGGAGTACTGCAAATTTATTTTGTGCAGAATTATTATAAATGTATATGAAGTGTTTTGTGCTTCGTTTTTTTCTTATGTATTGCATTTCTACTTTCCGCCCCGATTATGAAGATAAATCTTTGCCTTCAACTAAATGTCAACTATGATAATGAAAATATAAATAACTATGTCTGAATTACATTCTGTCTGATCTGCTTGGCTCAGGAATAATAAAGTGACCCTATATGTGTAGAATAACATTAACATACTCAGACATGCTAACCTTACATAAGGAGCCAGTAGGATTGGCTCACTACCTGTTCAGCATCCATAGGAGTTGTTTTTTAGAAAGCGGTTGATTTAATGCTAGGTTATTTCATATTCTCTTGTTCAGTTGACTTGCTAACCAAAAACACATACTATGAGATTAGTGACTTGGGAGAAGTTTTCATTTTTGCACAACTAACTGGCCTAAATTAGGGATGAAAATAACAACCTTGACTTTCTTAACACTTGATCTAACTAACTTTGCTAACTGGCCCAGACTTAGAAATCTATTTACACTGGTTTCATACATGTCCTGGTAGCTTTCATCATCTGGGTCACCAGCTAAAACATACTAACGATCACTAATGTGACACCTCACGTCTTCTGTTTAGAGGCCCCAGATCTAAAGCAGGAGGAGCGCCTGCAGGAATTGGAGAGCTGTTCGGGACTGGGTAGCACATCTGATGATACGGATGTCAGGGAGGTCAGTTCCCGCCCCAGCACACCAGGCCTCAGTGTTGTGTCGGGTATGTCTGTCTTGTTTTAAGGACTAAGGATCTCAAGGTGTGTTCCCACATCTCCACTTATAAAGTTGATAGCAAAGAGATAGGTTTTATTTAAGAACTGAGTAATTTTCAGGAAACAAAATTATTCCTATGGGCCCTTAAATCTGAGAATGTAATGTGTAGCTTTATAGAGCCTGTTGAAGTAACTGGCAATCAGTCTGGATGTGTTCCCTCTACTGCTCTGTCTGTTCTTGCTAGCTCCGTTACTGTGTTTAGATAGCACATGGTAATTCTGGTTATGTCGCACAAGTCCAGGCCAATGTATTTAAGCAATAACTCACATGGTTAGAACTAGGGCACAAAAATTTGAGAATATTTATATTTCTCCAAATCTCATGTACTTTTTGTGTGGTTGTTTTATTCTTCTTGCTGTTTATTTTTTGCTTTCTTTTTTAAAGGCATAAGTGCCACCTCTGAGGATATTCCCAATAAAATTGAAGACCTGAGATCTGAGTGCAGCTCTGACTTTGGGGGTAAAGACTCTGTCACTAGTCCAGACATGGATGAAGTAACTCATGGTAAGGAGGGAAAACGAGATGACTTTTTAAACAGTCACATTAATGGTGAAACTGGCAATCTTACACATTGCTGGTGATGATATCAACTGTTATAACACTTTGGGGCATAATTTGGCAATACGAATGTAAGGCCTTACAAGTTCACATACCAGCTTTGGTCCACTTTAGGAATCAGTCATAAGGAAATAGTTCCATGTATGGAGAATGTCTTATGCACAAACATGTTCTTCATAACATTAATATTTGCAAAGAATTTAGAAATAACCTAATCATCAAAAACCAGAATGGCTAAATGAATTTTGATATAACTACTTATTAGAATTTATGTAGTTATTTTTACATTGGGGATTGAGCCCGAAACCCAGGCTTGTACCATGACTGGGAATCGAAATCGTGACCTCCTGGTTTATAAATCAGTGCTCAACCACTGACCCATCAAGCCAGGCAGTAGTATTCATATTAATATGAGTTATTTAATAAATTGTCATTTGCTGAGAGCAGTATTAGAATTTCAAATTTTCCAACTTTTTATTTATACTCCTTCTGTAGGTAGTGTTGCCCCTCTTTGTATAGGCGGAAGCTGAGGCTCAGGGAAGTTGTGACATTCTGAAAATTTTGAAGATTTACATCTGCCTCTGTGATCTTTGCATTAACTATGATATAATTTGGCCATGAAAAGTAGCAGGCAGATAGACAGACCACTTAAATGTAATTAAAATCCATATATGTAGAAAAAACATAAAATGAATTTGGAGTACTCAGAATTTGATCTTATTAGATTCTTCTTTTTTCCTTATATGCTGCTCAAGCTCTAATTGATGAAAAAAGGTTGAAAAGTGTGGAAAATGTCAAAACCACTTTCGCTGTTGAAACTCTCACTGAGTGCTGGTCTGACTTGGTCTCATTGTTTTGTCTGTTTTAGGCGCCCACCACATGACCTCTCCCCCTTCTCAATCAGAGTCTCTGCTCGCCATGTTTGACCCACTGTCTTCACATGAAGGTAAACCAGTCAAGTGAACTTTTAAAAAATTGAGATGTAATTGACATAGCATTATATTCGTTTCAAGGGTATAACATAATGATTCATTATTTGTATATATTGTGAAATGATCATCAAGTGAGCTTTTTGACTCTCATCAGAGTCAGAAGTAGGCAACCAAAGCCCATTGTTAATAATGCTGTGGTCAGATCAGTTGTGTTTCAGTTGCAAACTTTCCCCCCTGTGTTCCAGGAGCTTCTGCTGTGGTAAGGCCAAAAGTCCACTATGCCAGGCCTTCGCATCCACCACCAGATCCTCCGATCCTGGAAGGGGCTGTGGGAGGACATGAGGCCAGGCCGCCAAATTTTGGTTCCCATGGTTTAACTCCCGCCGAAATGGAGGCATTCAAGCAGCGGCATTCTTACCCTGAGAGATTAGTTCGCAGCAGGAGCTCGGACATAGTATCTTCCGCCCGGAGGCCCATGAGTGACCCCAGCTGGAACCGCCGCCCAGGGAATGAAGAGCGAGAGCTCCCTGCAGCTGCAGCCATTGGTGCTACCTCTTTGGTGGCTGCACCTCATTCGTCATCTTCATCCCCGAGTAAGGACTCCTCCAGAGGAGAGGTATGGGACACAGGCCACGGAGAATTTGCTGACGTGGTCAGCTTCAATGTCTGTCTGCCTAATTCTCTTAGTATTGAAATGTACATGGGTTGTATACATCTAGGGTTAAGAATGGACAGTAGTCATCATTAACATGTTAAGCGCCCAGTCTTCGTGGAAAGTATAGTGCCAGTCACCGGTAACTGGGTGCTTAATGTATAAAAGATGATTTGTCAAGTATATCCACAACCTAATCCATAGGAAACCTCTAGTATCGATACTTTGTTTTTGTAGTGTTGTATCTTGCATTTTTGTGATACTTTTAACTTTTTCCAAATCATTTTATATCAAATTTAATTTAAACCTCTAATTTTCTTCTGAGATGGTTAGCTATTACTTTTTTCAATGAGGCATTATTTTTCATCGAAGTTTTAATTTACTTATTAATTATATTGATGGTCTCATGTTTTCTGTTTTAGTCAATGGCTTTGTTACTATCATTATTTTTTTCCTCGAATTGTCTGGTGGAAGCCCTTCAAGCTGTCGGAGGTTCTTTTGATATGCTGCCATCATTCTTTCAGTATTTCTTTCCTTTTGGCACAAAGTGTTATAAACTTATATTGTACTGTGTCCTAAACCTGGATCAGCCATTTCTCCAAGGAACCCTTGTTCCTTTTAGTAGAAAATGGTTTTTAGAAAAGAAGATCTGGATACTAGGTGTGCTCTTTGCTGTAGGAGTGCTCCTACTCCCAGGACCTCACAGTAGACAAAGCCATGGGGAGAGAGTGTGTGTGAATATTCATGTATCTACATACACACATTTACATGTGTATTTATTTTTATGTGTATCTTTCTCTTTATATCTAGAGAACTATGAACGAACACCTATATATTTCATTCTACTCTAAAAACAACAGTTTATTTCATCTTTCTCCCTTCCCGTATTTGTAACTCTCTTCTGCAATAGAAACCCGTTTTTATTATTCTTCATGCATATACTTACTTGGTCAGTCCTCGTGTATGTAATCAATGTCCCATCCCTGCTGCTAAACTGTCCCCCACAGATGCCCTCATCTGTCTCTTTGGGTTCTGACACCTCATCTACAAGATGCTCTTAGAGAAAATATTTTTAATTCCAGTTTTGTAGGTGAAGTAACAGATATTAAATGATTTGTGTAAGGTCTACTGATATGTGGTCTTTTTTTTTTTTAATTCTTTTAAAAAATATATATTAGGTCTAGTAATAATTAATGTCGTTTTCTAATACTTTTTTTTAAATCGAATTTATTTAAACAATACAACAAAATTTAATCAACAATATAGTTGCCTTTGTTTTCTACTACTTGTGCCCAACGCTCAGGAAGCATTTTAATCCCTCTGTTGTAAAATTCTTGTGATTTTGATGCAAAAAATTTGGTCAATGCATTTTTGAGGCATTCTTCATTATTAAATTTTTTTTCAAGAAGAAAGTTTTGCAAAGAACTAAACAAATGGTAATCGGAAGGGGCAATATCAGGAGAATATGCAGGTTGAGGGAGAACTTCCCTTTCCAACTGGCGCAGTTTTTCAGCAGTGATTCTTGCAGTATGCAATCGTGCGTTATCGTGGTGAAGAATTACGCCCTTCCGATTAATCAGCATGGGTTCTTTTTCTCTTAAAGCTTGAGCTAACCTTTCCAATTGGGCACTATACACTGCACTTGTAATGGTTTGGTTAGATGGTAAAAGTTCATAATGAAGAATTCCTTTAAAATTCCACCAAACACACAACATCACTTTTTTTGCATGCAAGTCAGGTTTGGGCGTGGGCTGCGGAGCCTCATTTTTGTCCAACCATTGAGGCCGCCTTTTCAAATTAACATACAGCACCCATTTTTCATCTCCGGTAACAATTTGCTCTAAAAACGGCAAACGGTTTTGACGAGAGAGGAGCGAACTGCAAATTGTGACTCTTTGATTACGGTTGTTGTCAGTCAACTCATGAGGAACCCATTTCCCAAACTTTTGGACTTTGCCAAGTGCACGCAATTGATTGGAAATTGTTTTTTGTGAACAATTTAAAGTTGTCGCAAGCTCTTGTTGGGTAATTTGAGGATTTTGCACCAAAAGAGCTTGAAGAGCTTCTTGATCAAAATTGGACACACGACCTCGACCACTCTTGTCATCTAACGAAAAATTTCCCTCGCGAAATTTCTCAAACCAACGCTGGCATTTTCTGGCGCTAACTGCATCTTGACCAAGAGCACTACAGATGTTTTTTGCAGCCTCACTTGCTTTTCTTCCTAATTGGAACTCGTAAAGCATGCAGTGCCGAATATGCTCTTCATCCGCCATCTTCTTAGCCCTAGTTTTGCAACAAAAACCAAACCAAACACAAACTTTTTCAAGCAAAACTTGTTAATTGCACTTCACACGTTCTGTAGATACCACGTGTTTAAAGGTAATACAAGTCAACGCCAAGCAAGATTTTAAACGAATGTTAAAAACGACATTAATTATTACTAGACCCGATATTTTATTGATTTTTTACAGAGAGGAAGGGAGAGGGATAAAGAGCCAGAAACATCGATGAGAGAAAAACATCAACCAGCTGCCTCCTGCACACCCCCTTACCGGGGGTGTGCCCGCAATCAATGTACATGCCCTTGACTGGAATCGAACTCTGGGACCTTTCAGCCACAGATCTATGCTCTATCCACTGAGCCAAACTGGTCTTGGCTGATACGTGGTCTTAATGATAACTGAATATAACTGATGATCAAAACATGAACTTTGAAGTTGGTCGGAACCTAGGCTTGAGTCCCAGCTCTGCCACAACAGGCTGTATAACTTTGGGGAAGATGAGAAATAATCTTTTTTAGCCTCATATTTCTCATCAACAGAAAGGGCTTGATAATAGTATTTGTATCCTAAGGCTACTGTGATGTTTCAACGAGATAACATATATCCTTATACTCAGTTTTTGGCACATAGTACAGACTGGGTTTTATTACTTAACTAGAGGCCTGGTGCACGAAATTCATGCATTTGCAGGGACCCTCAGCCTGGCCTGTACTCTCTCAGTCCGGGAGCCTTAGGGGATGTCCAACTGCTGGCTTAGGCCCGCTCCCCATAAAATTATTTGCGACCCACAGGTTAAGAACCACTAGCAGGGTTGTCTTAGACCATCGGAAAACACAGATATTTACATTGCGATTCATAACAGTAGCAAAGTTACAGTTATAAAGTAGCAACAAAAATAATTTTATGGTTGAGGATCACCACAACATGAGGAACTGTATTAAAGGGTCACGGCATTAGAAAGGTTGAGAACCACTGCTCTACAGCAATAAGAACAGTTTTGCTTTTAAGATAGACCTCAGGGGTATTTGTATTTCACAGACTAACTGAAATCCTTTTCGTAGTAATTTGCCTGCTCCCCAACTCCAAATGAATCATCAAACTTTTTCTACAGACTGAAGAACGCAAAGATAGCGATGATGAGAAATCAGACAGGAACAGACCTTGGTGGAGAAAGCGTTTTGTTTCTGCCATGCCTAAAGGTAATTTTATAAAATATTAGAACGCCATATGAGCAACCAGAAGCAAAGCTCCAAAATCTCTCTCCGAGCCCGCATCTCGGCTCCTCTCTCCCTGACGTTTGCTGGGCTTGTTTCCAGCTGTTTCGGCGCAGGTGGATGCTAAGGCGGAGCTTTAGCTTATTCTTGGCAGGAAGTGGTAGTGGTTTCATAAATGGAAGTCATGCAAGTGGTCGTTTAAATATCATGTACCCTGATGTTAGATATGTAGGATTTTTGACATATGCATTGCCAGTAATTATTGCAGGAAAAGAGGGATGCTATCAGTCATTAAACTGAAAATTTGAAGTTCATCCTTTGCATTCCTGGAATAAACTTAAGTTTTTAATGTTTATGTGCTTTGAGATTGCTTATACTCTGAACATTAGCGAGTGTTTATTTTGGAAGGCAGTTGTATAAAATTGTTTGCTTCTTTTGTGAATAGCCTGGCATCATGCTAGTAGACATTGAGACTTGAGTTTGCAAAAGCATCTCTTCCTGAAAGGAGAGATCATCCAGGATGGGAGTTAGGGACTTCTTCCGAGGGCCTCTTCTCAGCCCCGCGGTGCTCACCGCCTTCGCCCGACTGCAGCCACTTGAGGACGAGGAGAGCGTGGCTCAGAGCTTTGAATGTGTTGTTTCTGAGCGGATGTTAAGAGGCAATGGTTTTGATTTAGTCCCAATAGATTCCCGTTAAATCATTCTTCCTGTGGCCAACGACTCTGAACGCTTCTCTAAGAATCTTCAATGCTATTTTAAGAACCATTATCAATTGACACTTGGGATTTCTTAGCTTTTAAACTTCTCACCTTCCTTTCACTTAGAAATGTTGGCACACCAGTTAACTCCAGAATGACTGCTGTCTGCCGAGTAGTGCAGTATGTTGTATGTCACACTACTGACTTTATTTAATTTCCAGCTCCCATACCATTTAGAAAGAAAGAAAAACAAGAAAAAGACAAAGATGATCTGGGGCCTGACAGATTCTCAACACTCACAGGTTTGTAGACCATGGACTTCCTGGCTCCTTCATTCCCAGAGCACATATTTCATAACACTTTTTCTTGGGTGCCATAAGCGTTGCCTTCTTAGATGAGTGTGTCTGTGTGTGTACAGTGGGGAGTATGTTCCTCATAGCTCTGTGGTTCCCAGTTGGCGGCCACAGTGAATCTGTGTGCTCTTCCTGTAGCCCTGCCACCACCATCCTCATCCTCATCATCATAACTTCCATTTATGATAAGGCCTCTAGACACACCCTACAATTCCACATCTTAGTGGGATGATGCCACATAGTGCCTTTTAGGAAAGTGTGGTGATGATTTTAGCTCTGTGCATGCCATATCTTTGGATCATTGATTGAATAATTTTCGCTAACGTTGATCGTGGAACTCTAAATTTATTTTTATCTGTAGCTCTTGATTATTCAGGATCATAGTGAAATTCTGTTTTACCTAATCATTTCCTTTTTTCATGATAAGGTGTTTGTTCAAACAATATAATAAATTTATAAACTTTACCAATGTTTACAGCTTGAATCAGTTTACCATTGCTCTCTAACCCAAGGAAAATACTACTAGGGGTTGGGTTCTTACCTTATTCAGCATTTATATTTTTACAGCTTGTTCTTGGCACATTATGATTGAGCACCATGAAAGGAAAGAGTGTGAAAAGTAGTGTTAAGGACTCAGCCATGAATTTGATAGCTGTGTACTGTAAATTATCTACAGGGAAATTCATTTCTCACCTCTTTTTTTCTTATCTTGACTTGAAATTTCATTCTAAGTTAAAATGAAGAGTTTTATTTAGAAATGGGATAGGTTTCAAAAGAACATCCTCCTCAAAGCTCAGCATAGTACAGGTAGAATCCCATTGTAAGGCATGGCATTCTAATGTCTAGTTCTGTTGCGTTTAGATGTCATTCCTTGGCCAACACACATCCCTGCTTGGATGCATGACTTTCCTGGATAAAGGGTTTTGAACAGCAGGCGCTGTGCTTCCAGGCCACCGTCCCTGCTGAGAGCAGTCAAGCCCCTCTTATTCAGTCAGCCAATCCCTGTTGAACACCTGACTCATGCCGGACACTGTGCTAAGTTGTGTGGGGAGGAAGTCAATTCACACATGACCCCTGTTCTTCAGGAACCCACTGTCTGACTGAGACATGTTAAAAAGGCTTCTTTTGGGCAAGATGTGTTTCTTGACCATTTTCCTAGTGTTGGGAGACCATGAGATTGCTCATGTTTGCAGAGTGAAATCTCTTCATGAAATCTCGTGTTTTTACAATGTTGAATTGATAATTTTGGAGAAGTTATAAATTATTTTTTACTTGACTTTGGGCAATATATTTTTCTTGGTTCTTGGTTCTTAAACTGGAAGCTAGGTAGAGTACAATAAAAAAAATTTTTTTTTTAGTACAATAAAAATTTTTAAAAAGTATTTCATTTTCTTTGTGTTCAATTCAAGCCATTTAACTTCTCTACTATGCAAAAACTTCTACCCAATCCTAACTAATGACCTATTGGAAATTATTAAATCTATTTTAAAATGCTATGAAAGGAAATTTCTTAACAGTCTGCCCATAATACCACCATCCTAACTATTCTTGCGGTTTTTTTCCCCTCATGTTTTTGTACATGGCTTTTCATGATTTAATCAGATAATGTATGTAACTGTATTCTTTTAACACGTGTTATTTCATAAACCCTCTCCCAGTTTCTACTAGACAGTGATTGTTTTTAGTAGTTTTTATTGACTCTAAGATAATCTATCATCTGATTTCACTGCAGTGTGAACATTCTCTTGCTTTTGGATATTTAAATTGTACCCAACTTTTACTATAAAAATACTGCTCACAGCTTCATATATGTAGCATTTCTTGTTTGTTTTCATTATTTTCTATGGATAAAAATTTTAAGCATGGCATTATAGATATAAAGTCTATAAGCTACTTTATGGCTTCACTATAGCTAGCCCAATTCTGTTGTTTTTTTCAAAAGAGTGTCTACAGCCACTGAAAACCAATAGCAAAAACTACTGTCCCTCCACAAAACGATTTTGTAACAATAAAGATTTTTCTTTTTTTAAATTTTTTTATTTTATTGATTTTCCACAAGAGGAAGAGAGAGAGGGATAGAAAGTTAGAAACATCGATGAGAGAGAGACATCGATCAGCTGCCTCTTGCACATCCCCTACTGGAGATGTGCCTGCAACCAAGGTACATGCCCTTGACTGGAATCGAACCCGGGACCTTTCAGTCCACAGGCCGACGCTCTATCCACTGAGCCAAACTGGTTTCGGCACAATAAAGATTTTTCAGTGTACATTTTGAAGATCAGATTATGATCCTGATCTGGCATTCAGATGTCATAGCAGAAAGATTACGTACATTACTTTGGAAATCCTCTCTTTACAATTTTACGGAGACAGAAATACAAAATATTTTCATGGGGAAAAAAAAAAAAAAAAGAAGAGCCTATGAGCATAAGAACTTAATCTCTCTATACCTCGATTTCCTTTTCTGTAAAATGGGGTGATAGTAGTACCCCCCTATGGGGTAATTGTGATGATTGATTGAGATTGCTCATATAAGGTGCTTAGCACAGTTCCTGGCATGTGGTCAGTGCTCAATAAATGGTAGCTGCTATTAGCACACACATATATAAATTCTGGTGACTTTCACGTGATTTTAGACTTTTTAAAAAATGGGATTCTACCAGAATGTGGGCACCTGGTTGGCCTAGATCTATCGCAGGAGTTTACATTTCACTCTGGAACTTTCTGTGTCCCATAGATCTGTAGCAGTTCTTTGCTTTGGTAACTGTTAATTACCTTGACTGCAGGAAAACATTGCGATGTGCTGATTTTGCCGACAGGATGGCAGTCCTGTCAGTAAACAGTGCTGAGCTGTGATTGTGACAGCTTTTTCTCTGTGCACCCAGGTACAATTCCAGCACTCCCCAGCAATGTCTAGGTTCTCTGGGAGTGCCTCTGACTCCATTGCATGCACACAAGTGCTCTGTTCCAGCAGCTGCACTGTCATGGTGAGACCCAGTGAGATAGCATATGAAAATCTGAAGTTTTCAAATCTGGTGTAGAGAGAGAAATCCAGGAAGACTGGAGGAAGGCAACTTTTATTATTACTTAAAAGGCTTTCATTCTCAGTTTGAATACTTCTTTGTTCCTTCAGCATGGAGATGTCTGAGTAAATGAAGTCTGCATATAAAATTGCATTGTGGGAAGCTCTGTTAGCATGAGTTGCTAATACCAGTGGTTTGAGTGTCAGCACTTTAGAAACCCATCATCCATTCAGTCCGCACTGAACTTCCTGACAGTGTCATGTGGAATTCTGGCGATGATGAGAAAGTGGATTTAATTCTCCCAGTTCCGTGCTTTGGCAAGGCTCTCAGACCCAGAACTGGGAGGAGTAGGCAGCTGCATGGTGCCTCTTAACACTGAGATATGTGCTCTTTTTAGTCTCACCTCCTAATCGGCCTTTGGGATTATGCTCCTGGTGTCGTACTAACATCAGAGTTGGCGCAAACTGAAGGGAGCTCATTCTCTCCCCCTCCTCTCCCTGCAGATGATTCCAGCCCTCGGCTCAGCGCACAAGTTCAGGCCGCTGAGGACATTCTGGACAAATACAGGAACGCCATTAAGCGAACCAGCCCCAGTGAAGGAGCAATGGGCAGCTATGACAATGCAGGTGATAACCGTGGTAAAGATTTGGATAGTAACCTTTGTATCACAGTGATAAAGATGATCTGAATTAATAGTGCTACTTCTGAATAGCTGTAAAAATATGATAGAATTCTCAAAGTAAATGCAGAGGAAACAGAAGCATATAAAGCTTAACTTGTACGCTGCGTGTATTTATGTTTGTATGTGTTCTGGGAGAAGAGAGTCTAAGAGGGAGGCCAGGGAGAGGTGAACTTAGCACGCTTTGATTGGTTGAACGGCTGACCAGATGACTAGACACTTAGCATATTAGGCTTTTATTATGTAGGATTATTATTATTAAATAAAGACGTTCATTGTTTTCAATTAGGGTTGCAATAAGAAGTAAAATCATTCTCTTCTCAAAAAGTGGTCTCTTGATATATTATCATTGCCATAAATGCCTTGTTGCATAAAGCACAATGCTAACTTATCACTGAGTTGCTCAGAATGACTTCTGGTGCCAGAACATTTCAGATTAAGCTGCTTATTATCCTCTCGGGGGTGGGCTTTGTTTAGAGGTTGTGGGTGACGGGGAAAGTGCACACGATTCTCCTCGGGATGAAGCTCTGCAAAACATCTCCGCCGACGACCTCCCGGACTCCGCGAGCCAAGCGGCCCACCCTCAGGACTCCGCCTACTCTTACAGGTACTCCTTCTGCGGGACTGAGGGCTGGGGGGGCTTTTCATCGCCACTGCAGTCACCTCAGTCACGTGGCTCATTGTGTCACTTAATAAAGGTATAGAGCAGAGAGATAAGAATGAAATGGCTATTTTCCGAGAATACTTGACTTCCTATGTGGATGTCATTTAGCAAAGGCTTGGTTCACGGATAAAGGAAAACCTTGTGTGCCCACAGGCACTACATAAGCCATTAAAATGAAACAGGTGGCAGAGCCTCTGCCCATGGAAAGCCCCCAGCCCCCGTGAGAAATGCTGGGAGGAGGAGGGGGCATGGGAGCTGGGACCAGCCATCTCATAGACCTGAGGGGCCCTCAGTTTGTCCTCACCCAGATGCCACAGTCACTAATGCACGGCCAGTGTTGTTTCACATTTATCTCCCCCCGCCCCCCACCGCCCACTGGTTTAAAGAAGACCCTAATACATCATTTTATTTCTAAACATTATGAAGCTTTGTAATTTTTTTTTTCTACAGTAAAATTGGAGAGAGTGGAAGACAATTTTTATGTTTCATCCATGACTTTACCATTATTTTATGAGACTGCAGAGTGGGTGAATATTACATTTGGGAGGCTTACTCTGTAAGTTACTCATTTTATAGGAAGAAGCCAATAGGGAAAGACTCGGAGCTGCCAGGGTGGACAGCCGGGATCCTGCAGGAGAGCGGGCGTGGCCTGTTGGCTGTAGGGTTTCAGTTCCTTTCTGTGGATGGCAGCTTCGGGCATTCTGAGGAAGCTCTGGTCCATGCCCTGTGGGTCAGAAAGGGCCCCAGCCACCAGCAGAGGAGGGCATGCTGGTGGCATCTCTCGGTGTGAACAGAGAGCCGCACTGCCGGAGGGCAACCCCTTACTGCGGGGCGCTCTGCCCTCGGTGGTGGTCGGCGCCGCAGTGGTTGGAAGTTGAAAGGAGCAGCTTTTGACTCCAGCAACAGAGCAGTAAGGAAGGGCTTCCTGCCAGGTGTGAGCTGTCCAGGGGCAGGATCACACTTGTCGAGAGCGATCGTAGACGGCATTCTGAGTTGGAGGGTGTCTCCCAGATACGCCTTTCGGACTCTCCTAGTGCCTGCTCTCAGAGCACATCTTGCCTACTTTTACGTCCTTCCTGCTTGGGTCACTAGAAAGCCTGTTCCTTTAAGTGAGGTGTCAGTAAGTTTAAAATCTCCTTTGATTATGACCACTTACAACATTTGATTTCTGAGATAGCATATTAATTTACGTAGCAAATGTCCATAAAATGCGATCCTATCCGGATATAGAAATTAATGAATTTTCAACTCATTTTTTCAGAGATGCAAAAAAGAAACTGAGGCTTGCTCTCTGCTCTGCGGACTCTGTTGCTTTCCCAGTGCTGAGCCATTCAACAAGGAATGGTTTGCCAGACCACACAGACCCAGAAGGTAAGTTTGCTCTGTGACCATTTATTTTTTCTTGTATTGGAAGGTTAAACCATATGAAATTGCCAGTATTCAACTATATTTAAGCTTTATAGCAATTCCACATGGTTTAACTTACTAGATTTATATTAGGACCAGTAACGGCACTCGGTTACTGCTGGTTCATTAAGTGTTCAGTGTTTGAGAGTGGCAGTCCAGCTCAGTTCTCTGACACGTTGCCAAAGCAGAATCGACATCCCAAAGGCTGAGGGATGACATACCCCTTAGGTAAGCACGAGGATTTTCTCAGCAGTAACAGAATTCTTGTTTTTTTGTTTTTGTTTTGTTTAGAGAATGAAATTGTATGCTTCTTAAAAGTTCAAATAGCCGAAGCAATTAATTTACAAGATAAGAACTTAATGGCTCAACTGCAGGAAACTATGCGTTGTGTGTGCCGCTTTGATAACAGGACTTGCAGGAAACTGCTGGCCTCCATCGCCGAGGACTACAGGTACCGGGGCAGCTTTCCTGTTAGACCTTGTTTCAGCAGCGAGTTTTATCTTCCCGGTCCTTACCTTGGGAACGAACCTGGGCTTACATGGAAGTGCCTGGCTCTGTGTAGATTCCTGAGGGAGGCACACATTTGGCTTTTTAGTCTGCAATGTAGTGATGAATGAGCAGCTCTTACAGACAGAGAAGTACCATCTACTTCCGCATTGCACTTTAGCAGAGACGGGGCCTGGGTAACGAGGGCATCATTTCCCCTTCGTCGGGGTGAGAGGGAAGACAGCTTCCCTGGACCAGGGAGGCAGGAGCAGGCCCAGGAAAGTGCCCCCTTTGTCCCTGGCCAGCCCCTCGCTAACAGTTGAGGAGAGTGAAGAGGCTTTGAGGCTGAGGGCACAGGTGCCCTAAGATGGTTACATTTAGACTAGAGTGTCTGCAGTAACTGGTGGCATGTTTGATGACCTAGTGCAGTGGTTGGCTCTTTGGCCCCTTGAGTGTGGTTCTTCCACAAAATACCACGTGCAGGCACGAACATACAGTGCAATTGTAACTTTGTGGCCCATATGCAGAAGTCGGTTTTCGGCTCTCAAAAGAAATTTCAGTTGTTGTACTGTTGATATTTGGCTCTGTTGATGAATGAGTTTGCCCATTACTATACTGACCTAGTGGTACAGTAACCTGTATTTGGTTCTTATTTCAGTTTTCTCTAGCAATCAATTTCCTGTTAGGTGCGAGGCCCTACCAGCGTGCACCATTATAAAATAGGCCAGCGATGTGAGGGACTCCGCTGTGGCCAGTGAGTTAGGTAGCTAGTGCTCAGCCCAGGAGACGCTGTTCTTCACGGACATGCAGCTCTGTCCTCGAGCTGGCGGCATAATTGGTCTTCCAGACTGTTGTCTGCAGCCTGACATGCTAACGTATAAAACCAAAACCTATGAAGTCACCTTTTTTTTTTTTTTTTTTTAAGAAAAATTAGGACTCTCAGTTTGCAAAGAGAGCGTGCCCTGTGTCTATCTGTGTCCTGCAAAGCATGTTTTCTTTCAGGAAAAGAGCCCCCTACATCGCTTACCTCACCCGCTGTCGCCAAGGACTGCAGACCACGCAGGCTCACCTGGAGAGGCTGCTGCAGAGGGTGCTGCGGGACAAGGAGGTGGCCAATCGGTACTTCACCACCGTCTGCGTGCGGCTGCTGCTGGAGAGCAAGGAGAAGAAGATCAGGGAGTTCATCCAAGGTAACCGACCCGTCACACTGGGCATCTCTCCGCCGCAGTGCCGGGAGATTGGTCCTCTCTGTTTGCTAGTCTGTTTGAACACCTACATGTCCAAAAGCAGTTCCTTAAGTTCCCAGTTAGTTTATGGGTTCCTAATAAATACTTTTTATTTTTATTGGTTTGAATAGCTGTAGTTTATTTAAAAATGGATACAATTGGTAAAGTTTTGGATCCACACAATTTTTCTCATTTTTAAACCAAAGCATATAATTTTTTATTTTATTTTTTTCAAAGCATATAATTTTTATAACACACTCCTTATTCTTAAACTTTTATATCTTACCTTTCTCCTGACTTGAATGATTTGGCCACATACTCTCCTAAAATTAATCATGCCCAGACACTTTTGGCTAAGAGCACAGTATCTGCGTAGCTAGTGATGAAAGTGATTTCTACAGTTTCCTTTTTAAAATTATTCAGCTAGTGTATGCTTAAATTTATTATTTTGCATTGGAGACTTTCAGAAACTCACAGCAGCTGATGATAAAACTGCTCAGGTAGAAGACTTCCTGCAGTTCCTCTACGGCGCCATGGCGCAGGACGTCATCTGGCAGAACGCGAGCGAGGAGCAGCTGCAGGACGCGCAGCTGGCCATCGAGCGGAGCGTGATGAACCGCATTTTCAAGCTTGCTTTCTACCCCAATCAGGATGGGGACATTCTCCGTGACCAGTGAGTGCTCCCGGGGTGGTGCCGGTGTTGGACCACGCAGGGGGACGTCAGCTAGCCCATACGTTCGAGGAGCTATACGTAAGACCGGAACCATTGTCCACCCGTCAGGATGCAGCAGCGACAAGGACACCGTCCCCGGTTTTGGGATGTGGGGGCTCGGGTGCAGGTGCACACATTGGGCCAGCCTTTCTGCTGTTGGCCTGAATTTAGCATTTTTGTTTTTCCTCTTCTGCATTTTCTTTTTCTTTTCTTTTTTTTTTTTTTTAGAATGGATCTCTTGACCATTTAAAAAAATTTTTTTAAATTGATTTCAGAGAGGAAAAGAGAGGAAGAGATCGAAACATCAAAGATGAGAAAGAATCATTGATCGGAGCTGACTCCAGCACATCTCCTACTGGGGACCGAGCCCACAACCTGGGCATGTAATAGTGTCTCAAGGGGGGTCATAGGTGGTTTTTGTAAGTTTTTATTTTTTCGTGGAAGTTTTAAGATATTGCATGTATATTTGGGAGCGTTCACTTTCCTCTGAATGGTTTAGGGTCGTCCCAGCCTGCCTCTCACTCGTTCACAGTCTCAGAGGCTATTAGTCCACCCGAGCCCCCGTCCTCAATACACCGAGTGGGACTGTTTTTCCCCCAGAGCACCATCTGTGGCTTCCGGTGTGGAGCAAGGAGTAGGGACATTCACACTGTTGGCTGCACAGAGCACTTTGAAGCAGGGGTGCCTGCCTTCTCCCGGCATCTCTGCAGGTGGTACGGGGAGAGCTCACGGCCTGGGAAGATCACCAGCTGCGGGAAAGCGGGTTTACTCAAACCTCCGCCTGTTTAACTGAATTCCTCTCCCCTATGAAATGAGAGATTGTGTGCTGAGTCCCTTCTCCATCGAAGCATCTTTGGCTTCTGGCCTTAGATCCTCTACCTCGTGACAGCCTGTTTGCTAATTAGCGTAGCCTGGCTGCTAATTAGTGCACCAGGCAGTTTGTGGGCTGAGCGCGCCTCTCTTCCTTGAATGCTGTCTAGTCTGGGCAAGAAGGACTTCTGACTGCATCCCCTCGCTCACTCGGCATTTCTGAGCAGATCCTGTTAAAAACATGACTTCTAACCAGACAGAATACCTCCAGCTAAGACAGGGTCTCAACTGTAGTTGGAATCTATATCTAGAAATAAGTCTAAAACAGTTCAAAAGTTTTAAAGACTCGGTTATCACTGTGTGCCTTTCTTTCTGACATGTATTTACATGTTTGTTTTGGGGGTTTCCAGGGTTCTTCATGAACATATCCAGAGATTGTCGAAAGTGGTGACTGCCAACCACAGAGCGCTGCAGATCCCGGAGGTAACCAGGGGGATAGATGGGCGACGTTGGGAGTTAGGTCTGCGCTCTGTACCGTGTGCATGCTGCCAGTTTTCCAAGGAGACAGAATATAATAAAATATGTAGCACTGTTTGCGTTAGAGGAACTTCAGTCTGACTGAACTTCACGAAGATCCTCTGGGGATTGAAATTCCTGGTGAGGAAGGGACCTGGGTGAGGAGAGGGCGCTCAGGGCTCCGGCTGCAGAAACCGCTGCTCACGGCGATTAGTTGCACCTGAACATGACGCCAACTTACCTTTTAGTTATTGGTGAGAGAGTCTTTACCTGCCATACACACAGTTCCTACAAAACAAGGCAATTTCATGTATGTGAGCTTTCTGGTGGTTTTATTAAAATCTCCACTAATGGAGCATCGATTAGCATAACATTTTTAATTGTCTTTGATTTTTTTTTTAATCCTTTATTTCTAAAACTACTGCAGCAAAGACACATTAATTTATAAGTTGCTTTCTTTTAAAGTAGCTTGTTTGTGCTTTTGGAATCAGCTGCTACAGGAGAGAAGCTCCATCCTAGCTATGTAAGAAAGATGGACATTTTATGAATTCTAGGTTCTGTGTTGTATGCCGTTTCCTCCAATAGAGAATATCTAAGTTTTTGTTTTTGTTTTTTACTTTAAAATGCAAAGCAAATTATTTAACAATTAAGCTTCAGTCTTCAGTGGCAGGCGAAGGAGCTGAGATCTTGTTTTACTGAAGGAGGGGAAGGCAACATGCGCCCCTGCCTCCTGACGGGCGGGTGCCGTGGCCGCTGTCTGCAGTTGCCGGCAGATTAAAGCCCGCCCGCCTGTCTGTGGTCTCGCTCAGGTTTACCTTCGGGAGGCGCCGTGGCCATCCGCACAGTCGGAGATCAGAACCATCAGCGCTTACAAGACCCCGCGGGACAAGGTGCAGTGCATCCTGCGGATGTGCTCCACCATCATGAACCTGCTGAGCCTGGCCAACGAGGACTCGGTCCCCGGGGCGGATGACTTCGTCCCGGTGCTGGTGTTCGTGCTGATAAAGGTGGGTTCATCTTGGACGAGCTCACTGGCAGCGAGCGGGGTGGGGCCCGCGGTCCCAGGGTGTTAGACACCGGCTCTTCCCGGTGGGTCCAGAAGGGAAGTGTCTGACGTCAGGGCTTGTTCTGCCCAGAAGTCAGGTTTTCAGGAGGAAGGGCGGGAGGATCAGGTTCCTCGAAGCGTTTGGAAGCAGGGCCCAAAGCCCTTGGCTGGGTCTCAGTGTGTAACTATAATACGAGGGAAAGAAAAATTGTGCTTTTGCATCTTCTTTCACCGGGTTCTTCATAGTACTTGTCACATCAACTACTAAATTTTCCAGTCATCTCTCTCCTCCTTTGGCCTCTTATTCTGTAATTGTACCATATTTCAAAAAGCCCGACAGCCCCAGCTGGTTTGGCTCAGTGGATAGAACATCAGCCTGTGGACTGAAGGGGCCCGGCTTTGATTCCAGTCAAGGGCACATACCTCAGTTGCAAGCTTGATCCCTGGCCGGCATGTGGGAGCAATCAATCGATATGTCTCTCCCCCTCTCCCTTCCACTTTCTCTAAAAATCAATGGAAAAAGTATCCTTAGGTGAGGATTAACAACAACAAAAAACCCTGACATATTTTATCCTTAAAATTGAAATGTCATCATCTGAACAATCACATTGAAAAGTTATTTTGAACGTTTTGGGGGAGCCATGTGGTTTGGGTGCATCACTCATGTGTTCCAGTCAGCTTGCCCATCTGTTGATGTGTAAGGGATGCTGACACCTATCTCACTCATTCTTAAGGCGTGCAATATTTCTGCAACCTCACCTCTGAGTCAGAAACCCCAGGATCAGCCTGTGTGGCCTTCGTAACTCCTCCCGTGGCCGCTGCTCTCCTCTCGTCCACTGTGACTACCAGTGTCAGTTCGCTTTAAGGAGCAGGCCTTGGCTTGTTTCCTAACCACCTCACTTACTCGTGTCCTTTCTCGCCACGTGAAGGTGGAAGGCAGGTGTCCTGTGTTACCTCTTGCAGCAGAGGGCATGCTATCTTCTTAGTGTTTTCTTTCTCAGCTGCTTCTACCTGCACTTACCACCCAGTTACCACTCAGTTTGCCTGCAGCGTTTATTTCCCTCCGAACACTCTGGAAGCCTGGGGTATTGAGTGGGTCCACTGGGCTGGTTCAGCCTCCTCGGAGCCAGTGGAGTTCAGTGACCCGCAGGCATAGAAAGCTCAGGGCAGTTCAGCTCGGATTAGGCCCACTCGCCTCTGCAGTGCACTGTTGCTGCTCACGTGGCTAGGCTTTACAGAATGTTCCAGAAAGGGAACTCGGGGGTTGCTTTCAGAAGGACTGGTGTCTCTTTTAGAGACAAGCATTTGAGAATATTAAAAGATTTTCGCAGAGCTATACATCTGACCAGTCAACTATTCTTTCTCATGTCTCTAGGCAAACCCACCCTGTTTGCTGTCCACTGTCCAGTATATCAGCAGCTTCTATGCCAGCTGTCTGTCCGGAGAGGAGTCCTACTGGTGGATGCAGTTCACAGCAGCGGTGGAATTCATCAAAACTATCGATGACCGGAAGTGACCGGGACCCAGGCCAGCCAGGCAGCAGACTGTTCGGCCGGCAGACCGACCTCTAGGAAAATGTGCCAGCTGCTCTGCAGGCGGGAGCTCGTTTTGTATGATACTGTACAGCGTTCAGACGTTTTAAAACAGATCTTTACTAAACAGATTAATGTGCTAACAAGCAGGTTCTCTTTCCTTCGGGCTCTTCCTTTCCGAATTGCATATTGTCCTTCCCTGACCCCGGGTAGAGAATAGCACTGCACAAAGGGACCACGTTTTTCAGGTATTTGAAATACTAAAACCTCCTAGGAACAAAGCAGAACCTCCTAGAACATTTTTAGATCTCCGGATACTCATTTTTTTTTCCTTTTATTGAACAAAAAAGCACCAGTATACCCCTTTCGGGATGCTGTGTGACCCTCTAGGGGTCCGGCGGAGGGGATGGGCACTGCGCTGAGGATTGAAGGTGACAATGTGGCATTATCTATAAATACACTCACCTACATTGAAAGCTAAGAAGGAAATGTAAATATAATATATATTTATATTTGATGTAATATGGACATCTTCAGATTCTAATAAACAAGGACTATTGCTGATAGTAGATTGTGATGTACCCTCTTGTGAAATGGTTTCCTTGACAAAACTTAAGCTGAGCTTAAAATCAGAAAACAAGAAAAGATGCAGAAATATTTATTAAAGTGGAATACAGCTCATCGACCTTTCTAGGTGGGGGGTTTGATGGCCAGGGCTGCCTTTGGAGAGAGGTATCCGTCCTGAGGAAGTCGCCCAGACATTGCTCACTGCACAATGAGGAGAGCTCTAACCGCCATTCACTGCCTCCAGAGTACTTCACTGTGGTACTTCTCATCCGAAATACGAAACCTAGCATAGAAACCCCCAGTGGAACCCGTACCACCCTTTCATTGCCATCTGTTTCTGATGATGATTCACATTGAATGCACAGACCAGGAATTCATCGAATGGCATTTTTTTTAAAACAACTAATTTGTATTGTCTGCTCTAGTGATCCAAGTTTTATTAGCGATAAGCTATTTTAATCAACCATACAATTCTTAAGAAATAACCTGTTTTGGCTGGTGTCTGTGCCTTTATTCCCTCTTCTGAAGAAAAGTATGTGTTTCGAGATTTTGTTTCGATTGAATATTGATAATTCATCAGGAGCTGGTTTTGGTATCTGAGAAATTGGCCAAGGAGGCACACCAAAGCTGTAAGCACAATTCTTGTAGCTGGTCACCACCGACTGGCTTCGCTGTGTATGTTTCTAATCACGTTTAGCTGCTTTTATAACAAACTCGGGCCCACACCTTGAGCTCGTTACGGACAGCGCTTCCAGGTGTATTTAAGGGGACTGTGACCCACACCTGGAGCCGATGAAGACAGGTTGCCTTCTCCCTCCCTCCCAGATCTCCGTCTGGTGCCAAAGGAAGCTGGGTTTTCTTTATGCCTCCGCCTCTTCTCATTCATTTATTCTAAAACACCCAAATAAGTTGCATAGGAGCGGGGGACGTGGTTTCTGCCCTTGGGGAGAGGTCAGGATGAAATGGTACCACAACGTGTCCTGTGGAGTGTTAGGTCCGGTGCTTCCTGAGCTGCACTGCTCACTCCGGCCCTGGAACCAGAAGTCAAATCCCACCAGAAATGCTTTACAGGACAGACTGTCAACCGCGATTTCTAAGACCTAGAGGGATCCATTTCTTCAGCATTTGGTTCAATAAACGTTAAGTCAACCGAAAACTTGGGACAGTTGAGCATCATTGTTACGGATTTAACTCGGCAGTCAACGAGAGACTTTTTCCCTCCGTGGTTGCTAAATCTGTTCCATGTTATCACCATGGAAATAAACATGAAGACGCGGACCCTGTGCAGGGCTCTTTTCTGTGGAGCAGAAGGTGTTGAGATTGGGGTGCAGGGCCCCCCTGAGGCAAGAGAGGGGCCTCTAAGGGCTTGCACCAGGGGTGAGTAGAACCCCAGAGACTGGCATCAGAGTTGCATCTCTGAGATGCAGGTGGGGACTGGTAGAGACAGGGCCCAGCTGGTGGTGGGGCAGGAAAGTGCCCTCTGGACGCCTTCCGGAGCTGGGACCGTCCCCTTTCCCGTCACTGGCTTGATTCATGACCAGAGTCATCACAGCTGACGTGGGTAACCACTTGCCGTTGGGGGGGGGGGGAGCAGGGAATCCCTTGATTCTGCTTTTTCAGGAAAGAGGCGTTGCTGTTCTTTGGGTGTTTCTCACCACCCTGCCCCCCAGAGCTGCTTTTACAGGAAGGGTTAGTGCGAAAGTGCCACGTCCCCCCTCGGCAGCCACCAGTTATCCCCCGGAACTTACAGATACTGAGTGCTAGCTGAGCAGAGAGCGGCTCAGGCCACTGAAATCTTGTAGAACTAAACTCGCCTGCTAGTCCCATTTTGTGTTTAGGCCCTGCTTCTGGAGAAAGTTAAGGAGTGGAAACACCGATTGAAGATCATCTTGTAAAATTCCTTTTTTTTTTTTTTTAATATTTTTTAATTGATTTTTTACAGAGGAAGAGAGGGATAGAGAGTTAGAAACATCGATGAGAGAGAATGATCGATTAGCTGCCTTTTGCACACCCCCCACTGGGGATGTGCCCGCAACCAAGGTACATGCCCTTGACCAGAATCGAACCCAGGACCTTTCAGTCCGCAGGCCGACGCTCTATCCACTGAGCCAAACCGGTTTCGGCAAAATTCCTTTTTTTAAACCTGGTAAACACTCCGCTCTAGGCCCAATGGCAGTCACACTTACCGCTTTCTCTTTCTTTTACACACCTGCTTAGGAAAGCCTTTGTTATACAGGCAATTAAACATGGTGAGAGGAGGAGGCTTGGTGAGGGATTGACACTAGACATGATGCGTGGCTTCTCCTGGGAGCCTTTGGTTAACGAGGACGTTCCGTGGACGTGTTCTTGAGGTGCATAAGCAGTAGGACAAACGCACCGCCCCACCGCGGCCCAAACAGCACAGAGCCCGGCTCCTGCCGGCAGAACCCTGCCAAGTGCGGTGTCTGACCGCCTCCCCTTTGCCTGCCCTGGAATCCCGGTTTGGGTTAAGGGGGAGTTCTCAATCAGGGGCTTTTAAGAACTTTCTCTGATGGGAGTGGGGGGGTGGGGAAAGGAGGACCCCCTGAGAACTGAGTGGACGGCAGAGACGTGGTCCCATGTGGAGCAGCGTCCTCCGCCTGCCTCTCCATCCTGCTTAGCTCCCTGGAGTATTGTACTTGCCCTCCTCTGGTTCTTTGACGTCTGGTGGACTCACTCTGTATGCGTTTGCCATCATTCAGAGCAGTGTTTCCCAAACTTCTCTCACGATGAGAATCACCTGGTGGGGTTGTTAAACTACAGATTCCTGAATCCCAACTGAGAAGTGCTAAACTAGAATTTTGGGAACATATAGGTAAAATTCTAGTTTGGGAAACACTGATTTAGAGGGAGATGAGGAAGAGTTTTGACGTGGAAACTAGATCACTAGTGGAGATACTTGGGATACTGTGAACGCCAATTAACTGAGTCAGTGGTCGGCAAACTCATTAGTCAACAGAGCCAAACATCAACAGTACAATGATTTGAAATTTCTTTGGAGAGCCAAAATTTTTAAACTTAAACTTCTTCTGACGCCACTTCTTCAAAATAGACTCGCCCAGGCAGTGGTATTTTGTGGAAGAGCCACAGTCAAGGGGCCAAAGAGCTGCTTGTGGCTCGAGAGCCGCAGTTTGCTGACCACGGGATTGAGGGATGTAGCTCACACGCAGTGAGACGGTGGAGGTGGCCAGAAGGACCGGGTGTTTGGACCCGAACAGAAGAGGCTGCCCCTGTGCTGACTCCAGGGGGAACTCGAGCCCCTGGCCAGTGAACGCAACTCTAGGCACTTGGCTGCCTCCCAGCCTTCTTGAATAAGGTGACCAGACGTCCCGCTTTTTAAAAACACTGCGGGACAAACTGTTAAAAATCGGGACATCTGGTCACCTTATTCTTGTCCTGGGCAGACACAGAACATAGGTCACCTTATTCTTGAATGAACTTGAACCGTGACTGGTAGGAGTTCCTGGAGTGCTCCCCCCTCCCCCCAAGCCGCCCGAGACACACGGACAACCTGCGAGCAGAGATCACTGGGCCGTTAACTAGGGCTCCCTGGTGAGCCCAGGGCCGGGTTCTAACTGTGGGCAAGAGCAAGGGGGTGTCGAAGCTCTGGTTTGGATGCTGCAATTGATCCTTAGGGCCCTGCCTTTCATGGTCTTCCCTGCCCCCAACCCCTGGGGCACCCGAATCTCAGCAAGAACCTCCTGCAGAAACAGCTCTAGAAAGTGCCTCCACTTCCACAGCCCTTTCCCCACCTCCATTAGCGCCACGGCGCCTGACTTGGGGCCTCGGTGGCTCCTGCTGCGCTCCCTGGTCGCTGTGGGGTCCTCAGGTCCGGGCTGCAGGCTGCCCCAGGCAGGATGGGGACCAGGGACCAGGGCCAGGGTCAGAGGACAAGCCAGCGTCACCTCTCCGGCTCCTCCCCTCCGCTCCCCCCAGGCATAGGCAGGGAGGAGGCTCTCGGCAACGGCTGCACCCAAATCTCTCCCAGGGGTGTCACCCCACCACCCCGCCCCCCTCTTCCGCGGGCACGGGGCTTAATCCTACCTGAGACGTCAGGATTATCACCCCTATGTATTTATTCACTGAGGTGGGGACACCAGGGCCGTGTTCTGAAGGAAATTCTGGGATGTGAACCCACCGCAGCATGCCTGCCTCGGGGGGCTCTTCCCTGTGGCACCCCAAAGGTGGGCGGTGAGCGGGCTGTGGCTGGAATTGGGAATTGGCCCTTGCCTGGGTGGGGCCGGGCCGGCCCACTGCCCCGCAGGCCGGCTTTGCTGTTCCTTGGGTGACATCTTGTGGCCAAGACAGGAACAAACACAGCGGAGAAGGCCGGTGAGGGCCGCCCTGGAGGAGGGTCAGGAGCCCGGGAGGGAGGGAGAGAAGTACCAACCAGCGGGTCACGGAGTCTTTATCAGGTCAGCTCTCATGGACCCCAACGCGTCCCTGTGCCTAGACCCCAAACACTCCGGGTTCCTCTCGGCCCACCTGCAAGGTGGCAGGTAATAACCACTGTTCTCCCCATACAAAGCTTTTCTTTTCTTAAATATTTAGAAAATATACTCTATGGATTTCAGAGAGGAAGGAAGAGGGAGAGAGAGAAACATCAGTGATGAGAGAGAATCATTGCTTGACTGCCTCCTGCACGCCCCCTACGGGGGATGGAGCCCGCAACCCAGGCATGTGCCCAGACCAGAGGAACCCAGGGCCCTTCAGTCCGCAGGCCGACACTCTAACCACTGAGCGAACCCGGCCAGGGCCCTACAAAGCTTTTCGATAGCAGCCCAATGACAGGTGAGCCTGAGTCCCACAGCCAGTGAGTAACCGGGCAGGGCCCTGGCCGTCTCTAACGCTGGAAGGTGTTAGAGCTGAGGCCCGCAGGAGCCACTGCACCCCGTTGTCCGGGGGCTGCCACCAAGGGGGCCGGTCACAATGCACCCTGAGGCCTGGGACCCCTCCCGGGTGCAGGCACAGAGCGAGTGCTCCC